GGGGGGGAGGGGCCTCTCAGGGGCTGTAGCGAGGATGGTTTGGGGGCGGAGCACGCCTGGCTCAGCCCTTGGACAGGCGACTGGTCATCGCTAAGAAAGCACTAGCCACGCCTAAGTTTGGGGGGTGACCAATAAGAGGCAGGAATTGGCGGCCAATGGCAGCCCGATTCGTCGTATTTCAGCTCTTTGTCTCAACCAAGGTCGAGGACAACCCGCCTGGATCTTGGGAACTTGGAAGTCATCGCCAATCGCTCCCAACCGCCACCAGGTCCATCACGATCGCCCATTTCTGATAGCTGCCACTGCCGCCCCTTGTTAATCGACAATGGACATAGAAGGACGGTATTCTTCCTTAGCCTGTCTTCACAATCACATCCTTCTTCCTTAATCTGGTGTGGAGTGTTTACATTGTTCTTCAATAGAGATGATGTCTATACTCAAGACACTCATTGTCTGACTACTTCTCCCACCCTCGCAAAGCTGGGAAGCGGCAGACAACCAACACACACACACACACACAACACACACACACACACACACACACACAACACACACACACACACACACACACACACACACACACACACACATGCACACGCACAGAGCCACACTCCTGCAGAGGACTCAGACCTAGACCCAACATCTCACTCTTTTCTCCTCTCACCCTCTCACTCTTTTCATTCAACATTTGCATGCAAGAAACCTTCTATCACTTTGAAGATTTACACGGGCGCGGATGTCATTATCTCAACGTTGGACTCCTTCTCTTCTCCCCCCAGGCCGTAGCTCCTCATTACTCTGCCCGGTTTCATATTTCAACCACTATCATAGGATCTCATAGGGCCAACTAGGCTGAGTTGCCTCGAGAATCGTGTTGTTTCACACCAACGCTCCTTGTTTCATTAGGAGCTCTCTCTCTTTTGCTGAAGCATCCATCTCCGCTGCCCGCTTGTTTCCCATTGATTCTATCGCTCTACAGCCGCCCAGCGACGTGACGATCTTTTATCTCATTGAACGACCTATCTACTCGCCATAGGTGCAAGTTCACACCGCCATGGTCCGATTGTCTCTTGCCCGCCGCGCCGGGAGCCATTTCAGGACTAAAAGTTCCTCTCCCACCCCTTCCGCCGAACGCAGTCCTTCCCTCGCATCCTCTCGACCTGACGTCAAGCCGTTGATCCTCAAGGCAACTGTCTTAGCCGTATGTTCACCAATGCGCCTCATCTACCGACTGGTATACTCCGTAACGGTGATGGGCAATAACAGAGGAAGCTTAACTAATATATTCTATTTTACAGGGGAGGAATCTAGCTCCCAAAGATAAAAATGGATTGAGTGATCCCGTGAGTTGTGAAGAAACGCTTTCAATCTGCCCTGGAAAATTATCGAATTCAAGCTCCTGATCTGTTGTCTTTTATTTCCTCATCTATACAGTACTTGGTTGTATGTCTGGGCGATGCCAGACAGTCAACCCCAATGGTAAACAAAACATTGAATCCGGAATGGAACGTCTCATTCGACTTGCCCATCATCGGTGTACCGCTACTCGAATGCACTTGCTGGGATAAAGATAGATTTGGCAAGGATTACATGGGAGAATTTGATATTGCTCTAGAAGATATCTTTTCAGCTGGACAAATCCAGCCGCAGGTGCGTACAACAGCTATCCCTAATAAGGAAGAAGGTCACGTGGATCATAGCTCTTCGATTCTATATACAGGTCTATATGCTGAAGGTCTGTGTTAGCCGCAATGGTATACGCTGCGCTTCGGGAGGAAAGCGGGGAAAAAGAGAAGCGATGTGTCTGGCGAAATCCAGATGCAATTTACTCTCATTGACCCGTCAAACCCGACTGCAACGCCGGAGGGTATCTATCAGAAATTCAAGGCCATCGTATCTAGCGACGATGAGGACGAGGTTGTCGCTGTTTCGGGTGACACGGATGACTTTGAGAAGGATGACGAGACTTCAGACGAAATAGATGACCCTATGAAACCTGAAGTGGTCGAGAAGCGCCGCCGAAGGCTGCGAATTGCCCGCTTGAGACGCAAGTCAATGGCCGCCAAAGCGTATGAGTTCTCTGGCTCCAAAGACGGCGTTTCCGGTATTGTATTTATGGAAATAGTGAAAATCATGGATTTGCCTCCAGAGTCGAATAGTAAGTGGCTGCTTCTCCGGATCTGAAATTTCCCCGCCCGTTCGGCCACCCGGTTTACGTTGTGTTTTAGTGACACGCACCTCTTTCGACATGGACCCCTTTGTCGTTACATCCTTGGGCAAGAAAACACTGAGAACCCGTGTTATTCGCCACAACCTAAACCCCGTTTTTGAGGAGAAAATGGTCTTCCAGGTGATGAAGCATGAACAGTCATACTGTATTTACTTTACGGTCATTGACTGGGATAAGCTGTCCGGGAACGACTTTGTTGCATCCGCAAATTTCCCTTTACAAACACTTGTATTAGCCGCACCGGTTGCGGATCCAGAGACAGGACTCTACAAGCTGCCTGAACCATCTGAACCTTCGCCTACGCCGCCTGCCTCTAAATCGCGTTTTCGGTTAAACCTCTCGCGTTCTTCGTCAGCTTCAAGTTTGCAGAAGCTGGCAAAGCCAGTACTGAGATCCAAAAGCTCAGCGACATCGCTGTCAAATCAGTTCCAACAAGAGCAACAAGGCTCTCCTACCCGTAGCAACGTCCCCTCCGAGAACTCTTCCCAGCTTAATGTTCCAGGCACAGCAAATTTGGTAGAAGAGCCCGGAGTGCCAGCGGATGAGTATGGCCTCAAAACTTATGTTATCCCGCTTGTCTTGAAAAATAAGGAACGGTGGGAGGACAAGCATTTCCCTGAACTCCATGTGAAAGCGAAGTATATGCCTTATGCAGCATTGCGCCAGCAGTTTTGGAGAGCAATGCTTAAGCAATATGACGCTGATGATACTGCCCGAATTAACAAAGTTGAATTAACCACAATGCTGGATACACTAGGTTCGACGCTCAAGGAGTCAACTATAGACGAGTTTTTCCACCGGTTTGCCGAGGAAAATGGACCAGGAGAAACTGCAGCCCTCACGTTTGACCAGGCCGTTATCTGTTTGGAAGACACCCTTCAATCGCTACAGAGAAAGTCAATATCTGACAAACTGAGGCGTCTTGCGCCACGTCATACGTCTGGAGGAAGCCCAGGAAGTGAGAATCATTCGGGTAATGAAGATATTGTACCTGAAATTAGCCTTTCCCTGCCTTCCAATGCTGACCCCGAATGGCCAGTTGTGCCCACTATTACTCGTCATGAGCCCTCATCTTCAGGAGACAGCGAAGACAGTCTCCATCCGGATGACCTAGCCGACGACAGAGGTGAGGAACACGTAGTCGAAGTTCGACAATGCCCTATTTGTCATCAGCCGCGACTAGGAAAGAGGTCGGATGCCGATATTATTACCCATATTGCGACTTGCGTCAGCCAGGATTGGAGACAGGTTGGTAACTTGGTTATGGGCGGCTTCGTAACTTCTAGTCAGGCGCAGAGGAAATGGTATTCCAAGGTTATTACGAAGATCTCCTACGGTGGTTATAAGCTTGGTGCAAACTCTGCCAATATCTTGGTTCAAGACCGTATCACCGGACAGATTAACGAGGAGAGGATGAGTGTACATGTAAGACTTGGTATCCGATTGCTGTACAAAGGCTTGAAGAGCAGGGAAATGGAAACAAAACGAAGTGCGTATACACACCACAAAATCTACTTTTGCCTCTCTGGTATAATGACAGGGGTTTTTTTTTTCTCACGAAAATCACAGTTCGCAAAATGCTCAAGTCGTTGAGTATCAAACAAGGAAAGAAGTTTGATGACCCTGCGTCCGCAGCGCAAATCGTACCATTTATCAACTTCCACCAGCTGGACATGTCCGAAGTGCTACTTCCACTCAGTGAATTTAAGACATTCAACGAGTTTTTTTACCGCGCCTTGAAACCAGGTGCTCGTCCAGTCTCTGCGCCTAATAATCCTAAAATCGTCGTATCGCCGGCCGACTGCCGGTCCGTAGTCTTCGACCGTATCGACGAAGCAACCAAGATCTGGGTTAAGGGGAGGGAGTTTTCCGTTGAAAGATTGTTGGGTAAGGCGTACCCGGAAGAGGCGAAGCGGTACAAGAATGGCGCATTGGGGATCTTCAGGTTGGCTCCGCAGGATTACCATCGTTTCCATTTCCCTGTGGATGGTGTGATGGGGACACCCAAGACTATCGAAGGGGAATACTATACTGTTAACCCCATGGCTATCCGATCTGCACTGGACGTGTACGGGGAGAACGTAAGGATCGTTGTTCCTGTCGATTCCGTCGAGCATGGTCGTGTTATGATCATTTGTGTTGGGGCGATGATGGTTGGGAGCACTGTTATTACGCGACAGGCAGGAGAGAAGGTGGCGCGTGGAGAAGAGTTGGGATATTTTAAATTTGGTGGGAGTACTCTGTTGGTTTTGTTTGAGCCGGGGAGGATGTGCTATGACTCGGATCTTGTGGGTAACTCCTTGGGTGCGTTGGAGACTTTGGTAAGTTTTTGTGTACCCTTTTTCCAGATATTACTCACGTATTTTTGTCCCCCACACAATATGATGTTTTCCCTATCCCTATCTCTACCTAACTTCCCACTTCATTAGGTTCGTGTTGGCATGTCGATTGGTCACCACCCTGACGCCGCGGAATATACTCCTGACATGCGCAAGAGTGAGGAAAATATTACTCAACATGATCGGGAGGAGGCGATGCGCAGGATCGAAGGGAGTTTGAACTCCCCCACTCCCGGACAACTTATGCGCCCTGTGCCCCTACTTAGCTGATTGGGCTTCGACACGGCTGATGAGGACCAGAAGCCGTATATAGAAGTATGCATTTGGGTAGCATCTATGAAAGTTGATTTTTTTGAGATTGGCGTTGTGAGATTTTCTTGTTAGAAGAAAATTCAAATAAAGCGGAAAGGTTTGGGTGATAGAGGGAATGGGAAAATATATATCCCCTTCACATATGAGATGAGGTAATGATGGTAGTAATAACGTTATTAGCATTTAGTCTATGATTTCTTGGGTTTTTAACTGCACCTTGTTGTTCTATGTAATTGAGCTACTCTTTGTGTATATATTGTTTAATATTCAGGCTGGCATGTTGCAGCAAAGCAGCCACAAGGCTGACCTGACCAGCTATCCTTCAGTTTAGAATCAGATAATTCAGCACAGTTTGGAATACTTATATAAGAATTGAACCAGATATTTTTGCTCCTACCTCCTATCCTCCTATCCCTACCCCCTAACTCCTAACTCGATGTTTTCCATCCCGGATGTATGAGAAAGTTCCAACCTTCATGGAATAAATCTTGTGTCACGTGATCTTTATTAAAACAACGCTACGCCTCAATAAGCCTAGCAGATGTCTTATATAATCAACCTGTCCGAACGACGCGCCAAGACCAAAACAATTCCCGCTTCTCGTTTCGATTTCGAATTGCGGACAACGGAACAACCAGCATACGGATGAATGAGCTGATGAACGCATGAACCAGAGGACCCGAAAGACTCCCGTTTGAACGCACGATTGGCTCCCCGGTTCGGCAGGTTGATCGGTTGCTGACACGTATTCGCACACGCTAGGGAAAAGAAACAAAGGAGCATCGGAGAGGAGAAGAGCGTGCAGTATACAAAGGTCAGGTTCGGACAACGCTGGCAAATCCGCTCTTCTTGATAGCCGTTGTCCTATCTGGCTGGCTGGGGATTGAACGGTGTTTGGTTTTGTTAAAACGCCTCGTGGGGGAAATGTTGCGAGACGGGCTTGGTGCGGCTAAAAGCAGATTCGGATAACGCATTGTTTGTTTTCTTCTTTCAACGTCTCATCGAGTTATTGAGCCTCAGGGTGATTCGGGGCTGAACTGGTTACAAGAGGATACGGGTTTCCTAGAGAAGGACTGGAGCAAATACGATTACGATTGCGATTGCGTTTACGATCCGTCACCGTTCCCAAACGCGCGTGTTTACCCTCTGGCTCCCTGGTGGCTGTTGAATTGAACCACACGAAAAGGCGAGGAGGAAATACCATCACTGATATCCATCGCATCTCGTTACATATCATTGTATTATTCCGTCCGTTCCTCCCGAGATCGGTTGGGATTTTTAGGTCACCTGAAGCCAAATCCTGTCGCAAATCTCCCTCCACGCCCATTTTTCATCCGGGTATATCAATCTTTCTTGTTTTGCCGCGGACGAAAAGCGACCATTCACTCAAACCTGACAGCAAGCACGAGCAACAATATCCCACCTCAAACGTGTGGATCGATAACTGGTCATGACAGCCGTGCTAGCGTCAACGGCGACCACGATTAGTACAAGAAGGACATCCCATTATATCATAGACTTTGGCGATAGAAGAGATAGCGGATACGAACACGGCACGACGCGTAGTCGTGCTCCGCTGATGACTATTGATCCGGTGATGTCGCAGGCGCGAGGGCGAATGCCAAATGGGAACGCCACGAAGAGGAATGTGAAGGGGAATGATGGATATGCAGGGGAGGGTGTGAATGGGTGGGGTGGGAAGAGGAAGGCTGGTGAGTGATTTCTTTTTTATTGTTGAAGGCGGGAGGAGAGGGTGGGAAGTGTTTGATGGGCTGCTTCATGATGGGTGGGGCATTCTGCGCCGGTTGGAGTAGGTCTCTGGGACTATTATGGATTCCCCATTGCTGATTCTTGATTTTCATTTTCTACCACAGCTGAATATGACGAGGATGTTGAAGGATTCCAATTCACTCGCGCGGCTACTACGAAGAAACCTAAACCAACTACCCTTGACGAGAATACAGCTCCACAACCGCCAATGGATAATGATACACGGTTCCAACCTATCAGAAAACCTAAGGGGAAGGGAAGACCTCCAAAGGCAGCAGAGGCGCCGCGTGCGGTCTCAGTCGACACCTCCAATGGAAAACTGCCCATCCGATCGCAGCGACAGACGTCCAAACGTCTGGCGGAGGAGGAACAGATGACAACAATAACAGACCAGTCATCGAAATCCAGACAGAGATCGAATACTGCGGAACCGGCCCCGGCGACCATGCCAAAGAAGCGGCGAACGAGTAAGCCGAAAGACTCACAACAGGTCCCTCAAAGATGGGATGGAGAACAAGATTGTAATACCCCCCAAGCCAACATAACACATACGCAGAAGATTGCGCTTCCATTTGCGGATACGCCCGTCATTCGAAGGAATAAGGAAATGCGGATGGAGAAGAGGCAGAAGGGGCAGAGGCGGAGTAGTCTTGGACTGAGGGGAAGGAGGGCGAGTTCCCTGATCGAATCGGGCGCGTCGAATGGTGTGTCTTTTTTTTTTTTTTTTTTTTTTTTTTTTTGTGGTTTCCACCCTCTCCCGGGTGCTGCGGGTTGCATTTTTCTGGGCAAGGACGCTAATGTTTTGTTTGATTTCTGATAGCCTTACCCCACGACGAGGTCGATACGGCGCATTTCTATAAACACATTGAGAGCGAGGGATTGTCGGAGCCTAGGCGAATGCGACAATTGCTTACATGGTGCGCGACTCGGGCACTGGGGGAAAAGCCGTCTGGATCTCGATCCGGGGATGAAAGCGCAAGGTTGGCTGGTATGTTTTTTGAGACAAGAAAAGAAGGATCATATTTGGATGCTGCGCACGGCTACCTTTGAACGATGCTAACTTCTTTTTGTCACACTTCTATACAGCTCGAGTAATACAAGAGGAACTTCTCAAAGATTTCGCGAATCGATCAGAGCTCTCGGATTGGTTTAGGCGGGAAGAAACTGCCCTCCCTGCGGTAGTGGTTAAGAAACCGAATCCGAGAAATATACAAAATGCCGACAAGATTAAAGAGTTGGAGGAGCAGATAAACAAGTATGTAGTTCAGTTCGTACTGGAACATACGTACGCAAGGTGAAATACTAATGACATTATTCCATACGGCAGACTCCAGATAGAACGACAAACTCTCACATCTCTCCTGCGACCACCATCAATCCGACGAATAAGACCCCCCTCCACTTCAACCTCCAATGAAACCTCTGAAATCCAGCAACCATCCACATCAACCTCATCATTGTCATCGATCTCGGACACCCACCATAATATTCCTTTAGAACAGGAACTAATAAACTCCTCCCTTCTCGACCCATCACAAAAAGCAATCCTTGCCGCTCTTAATATACCCACGTCCGCCTCTACCTCTACAGACAAATCCACAACAACCACGCAAAAAGACACTTCATCCACCTCTATATCCGCTATAACATCCACTCTCTCCCGTTTAGCAACCTCTCTCATCCCAACCCTAGACTCCTTCGCGTCGGGTATGCACGATATAGAGCTCTACCGTCGCGCAGCAGATATTGTGGCAGGACAAGTTCTCACTATCTGCGCCCGTCGGTTAGAGGAGCGTGATCAGTTGAGACCGGGCCGAGGTAATAGGGATGAATTGGGGGATAATAGTAATAGTAATCGATCTATGAGGATTAGAAGGAAGAAGGGGAAACAGAAAGGTAGGTATGTGGGCGAGATGGAAGAAGAGGGGGATGAGGAAGAAGGGGTTAGTGGAGGTGGGAGTGGAGATGGAAAGGCAGGCTCAAGGATTGAGAAAGAGGATTTGGTGATTGTGTTGGCGGCGTTAAGTAGGATGGAGAGTAGGTAGTTTAAGGGGTGGTTTAATGACAATGGTTATATCGGGCCACGGCACCAGCCGCCAAGCCCGAGCAGCCCTATTATACCGTCAGCAGGCGGTATTGTTCTCATTCCTCCCATCGAGCACATTGAGCAATGGATATTGAAGGTGGCTTTGAATGACGTGGTCGATGAGTGTTGATGGCGTGTGAGTGAGGTATATATCTAGCAGGAGAGAACATTTGTTCTATGTGCTGTCACTGGCGCATATGCCCTCCCCCTTGCTTCGAGTGGCCACTTTTTAATGATTATATATCATTTGTTTTGCTTTGTCCTTTTCATCTTTTGCATGAATGTCGGTGTTTTGGGGGGTTAAGGACCTCAAGGATACCATTTCTTTACAGTGAGAACGATTATTTCCCCTCTTTTTCATATCCGTACTTGTAATTTTGAGGTACTTCATTTGCTTAAATGTATGTTGGATGCGGATGAAGGGTATAGGACATCAAATTACCTGTCGTCAGACTTAACTAAAAGTGGACACCTCAGTGCCTTATATTCGATTTCAATAACCTGCACCGAGAGAAATGGGAGGATAAATAGAGATAAAAATAAAAGTGTCCCATATTATACGCTGCTAGTTCACCAAACTATTCCCGGAAACGTCGCATCGCTGACTCGAAGATCTCCGATAGCAATAGAAAAGGACCCAAAATTAAAAAGAACGAAGTGAAAAATGGACTTAATCAACTCTCCTCTCCTCCCGACCCCAAACCTCCTCCATAGTAGATTTCCCCTTCGTCTCCGGAACCCACCATGCTAGAAACGAGCCCAGCACTACTGCCAAGGCAGTAAATAACCAATAAACCCGCCCCTTCCCTCCCATCGCCTCATTAAGAGCGGGGAAAAACTGAGCAACGACAAACGTAGCGGTCCAGTTGGCAGCTAAAGCCCAGCTCTGTGTTGCACCCACTGCCTCAGGGCCGACGAGTTCTGAGGCAAGAATAAATGGGACAGGCCCGAGACCGACGGCGAAACTTGCTACAAAGAGCAGTGTTGCGATGGCGGAGAGGATCTGGATGTTAAATGCAATCCCCAGTGCCAGGAGCATGGAGTTAAGGCCCATGCCTGTGATGCTGAGTAAGAGGCATGGTTTGCGACCCAATTTGTCTGCTAGTGGAGCGCAGAGGAGGGTTACTATGACATTAAGAGCGGAGACTATGACGGCAAGGATTGCGGCGGTGGTGGGGAGGATGTGGGAGAGAAGCGAGACGCTGTACATGATTATGCTGTTTATTCCTGTGAACTGTTGAGTGATCATGACGGCGATGACGGCGATTATGGCTGGGCGGTACGTAGGATTTCTGACTGCCCCTAACATGGAGACTGGGGGACGCTTTGGGGGAAGATTGCCTGGCGGCGGAGTGAGGAGGGATTCTTGCTCTGAGGTTCCGTCATTGGTGCCGCCAGGTGATATTCTCCAGGCTTTGACTTCTGGTTCGATATTTGCATCTTTCCCACGGATACGCTGAAGGATGCGCCGGGCATGGCCAGCCCGTTGGTGCTCCGCCAACCAGGCGGGACTCTCAGGAACAAAAAACAGACCCAAGAGTTGCAGTGCTCCAATAGCACCGGCAATTGCAAGAATGAAACGCCATAGACTGCCCCTGCTCAGGAAGTAACCCAGAGACTGGGATAATAATATTCCAACATTTGCCATTACTTGTGTAAAAGCACCGAAAAATCCCTTCTGTTCGGGATGTACAACTTCCGCTATATATATCGGGCCAACTACGATTGCGGCTCCTGCTCCAATGCCAGAGATCAACCGCCCAACGCTTAGATATTCCATTGAAGAAGCAAGAGCCTCAACGAGGGGGCCAAAAATAAAGAATATCGTTGTAGCCCGGATAGTTAGCAGGCGACCGTATTTGGTCGCAAAGGGACCGGCGACGAGGGCTCCCAAAAGGCCACCCAACGTGTAACTCGAAGAAACGACGCCAAATTGAAATGCATTCATTGGGATACATTGTGGTAGTTTCGAAGGAGCGATTTGACCTGTAGATGTAATACTTTTCTTCTCACATGTTATGACATCTTGAGGCGCATTGAGCTCAGCCTGGATTGATGAGAAAGAGGGTTGGTTAGTGGTTATAGAACAATAACATTTCAGGATATGAAGACGTTTCCACATAGCAAGTATTTCCTCACCAGATGATATCCAAACTGAAGGGGTCCCAGTGTAGTGACGAAGATGAGGAACACTAGATACGGCGTCACACTCGTTCGGGATGTTGACGTCGTAAGCGTCATTGCTGCGGCTTGATTACGCCCAGTCGGCCGTGGGTAACGATTTAAACGAGGTTGACTGCATTCAATTCGATTGGATTTTACTCAGGAGCCCCGGGGTGTTCTCCTTATCTTGTCTGCGGAGAAGCTACCATATCATCGCTCAAAGGGGTTTTTTGAGGTTGAATGGGTTGAGTTGACATCCCTCCGTGACGCCCATGTGCAGCTTATATATACGCTTTAACTACTTAGTTATCTAGTGTGTGCTTGGCATGCATTTTTATATATTTTATTTTCCATTCGAAGGAACCAAAAAGGTAAAAGCTGAACATCAGATGCAAATATCCATTGCACATTCTTCCATTGGTTCTATGAAAAGTATGAGATACCTCGATGATACTAACTTCCTAATGGCTTTAGCCACAGGTCGATGGTTTAAACAGCACTCTGTAGGAATTTGGGGCAATATACCCCCTCATCAAGCTGACAAGACATTAAATTCGACTTTTAACGCCCCAACGGAAGCAAGGCTCTGGGATTCACCCCTTGTTCCATTTGCAGGCTCTGGCAGCCTCTCCCAGATTATCCAATCACTGCCATGAAGATTAGTTAGATTGCCAATGAAGCGTGAACCGGGGACGGGTGGTCGGAAGGATCCAGAAGTACTCAGGACTGAAGAGAAGAAGTGCAGTGGTTCGGACAAGTCGTCCATGACTTCTTCATTTTCACTTTGGATAGATATATTTAACTACGTAGATATCTCATTCACAAAGCGTCGTTGAAACACCGAATCATGGTCCCCCAAACAGGTCACAAATCTTGATAATGAGACGGTAGGAATAGAGGAAATATAATGCCCGCCAACCAAAGTTTCAAGACGAAATTTGCCTCGTTCAGCTCCTCAGGATCAACCGCAAAAGATGAAGGTAGCTCGTTCCATGGGCAGTCTTTGGCTTATTTCCATCCGTATACTGTAATAAGCAAAGTTTGAAACCGTCTGCGGTTGTCTGGACATTGCACAACCATTCCTTCAACAATGTTCCCGGTGGACCAGTTATCAGAGCGGGGCATTGGCCTTAAAAAAGTTTGCAGGAGTATCCAGTTTTGTATGCTGGTCTGAGTTCCGGTTGGTCCTCAAAGTCCAACCCAATAATCTCAGTTAGCATTCGGGGATCCATAAATGACCCGTAAAAGAAATAAGGGACAGTTGGTGCAACAAAGTGGTCCATGGGCGGAGGTCGATTGGGAGCTTGGTAGAACCAGTCCGGTGGAAAACATCCTTTTCTTTTAAACTTGAGAACGGAAACGAACGATATTTTTGGAGCTTGCTGCATCTTGTGAACCCGTTCGAGGAGATGGTGGTGGGAGTCCAGAGGGAGGTGGAGGGAGATGAAGTGATCTTTCCGACTCGGCGCTGGACAGTGCCGTCAAACATAGTTAACTAGAGCGCATTTATCTATCTCATGAAGCGTCAACTTATCATCTAAATGAAGTATTGCGTCAACCTATTCGAACTTGAGAAAACCAATGCCAGACATAGTTATTCGTAATTCAAGCATGTGTCATGTCATCATGCGTGTCATTCTTCTATTCGGTTCATGTTATATATGGTGGAATTATATTCATTTTGCTACACGAGGCTCATCTCATAAATCAATATAAAATTATCAATGAGTTACTTCAATATGTAACTTCTTTTTTTATTCAAGTGTGCATAAGATAACCCATTGTTCGTACCTCCTGTAGATAAATCTATTTCAACGGGGAGGTGTCTGAAGATGCCGAATCATGCTCAAGGCAGAGCCGTGTGAGATAGCGCCCTCCACACCATGAAGCAAACCTGCAATTGCTAATGATAATGGGTTTGGTTTGAGTTGAGGAAACTTGCCACGTTGAAGAGCCAACAGAAAGGCATGCCTCCCAAATGCAGAGTGGCAAGACACAAAGAATAAATGCATGCCAGGATCAAGGGGACCAAGGTATTAAAAATTATTTCCTGCATGTTTCAGCAAAGATCTCATCTTCACCAACGACAATTTTATATGAAAGTTTCGCATACGTCTCTGCCTGTGCTCTAAGGTCAGATGCCACCGAGTAGGCATTAGTCAGGGTTATTCAACAGTCAACGACACAGTGCATCATCAATCCCCATTTCTTGACCACCACCAGCGTACCAGAAGAGCGTCGTAGTCTCCCGCTCTCGATCACATAGCCCAACGATTCAAGTGCTTTTTAGCGCTTTGTTATCTATACCCTTGGCATGTTCTTTCTGCTCTAGATATATTTGTGCGAGCCCCTGCAAGGGGTTCCAAGGCCCCAAACAAGGTCTCGTAGGGAACGAAAACTCTTTCTGAGCTGCATCTAGGAGGTTATCTCTGGTTTCCAGAAGGCCCTCCTTCGCGGCCTCTTGGTCGTCTTTGCAGATAATACACTCACAGTTAAAGTTCAAATGCCCTTGTTTTGATGTTCCTCATAACCAACCATAGGAACCTGGCACCAGTATGTGATTTCGGTATCCGGTGGGTTGTCTCTGGTAGCACGGACGATCATCATATCACCGATGAAAACACATCTTGTGTTACTGTTGCAACTGTGGTTGACATAAGGTCTCCTTTCTGCTCCCTCCCTTCAGTCCGGGGTTTCATAAGATTTTCGTAAGGTGAGCGAGGATAACTGTTTAAAGATGTAACACGCTCCACCAAGAATCTGGCAGAAAAAAAACATTCTAACTCATCGATGTCTAGAATCTTATGGATGTAAATCTGTGATTCCCCGCGTGTCAACCACCGGTGCACCACTCAGATCCGACGTGTCAACGGCCTTGTATGAACCGTGATGCAAGCCAGCGATGACTGAGGCTAGAAAAGGGTTCCGGTACACCTTCTGGGCAGTCATCGTGAGAAGTTTTGTTTGGTCCCATGGGTTATAACCATAGTTTGCGTGTTTATCAGCAAGGAAACGTCTTGACTGTAACCTTCGTCTGTATCTGCAAAGGCATATATGTAAAGGCCTTTTTCGCACCAAAGTAGATTACCAGCATTGACTGCTTTGTTGTGAATAGCCCTCGTCCTCGAGGATCCGAACTTTTCACAGTCACGGGCCCAACATAGGTGGAATGATCCAAATGCGTTGGGAGAAGATTCTTCGGCTGCCTTTAAAGCTGCTGAAATCATATCTGCCTCTTGGCCCACTCCGAAAGTCGTTGAATAGCTCGCTTAAGTCCGCTCTGAGTTTTCTTGTTGTTGGCATATTCCAGACAAAGGGCTTTGAGAGCTGAGCTTCGCAGCATTCTCAATACCTCTGTAGCTGATCCAAATGCTTGGGCTCTGCGGTGAAAAAGTTTCTCATTTGACTTCTTCCCAGGGTTTCATGCAGCTTCAAATTGCTCAGTCTTCAGAAAGGGAAGTGAACGGTTAAGTCTGAATGTGAAAGCTTTTATACAGCTGAAGGAAAGGTGTTCAACATTTTGGTATAGTTATCTTGGCTTTAAGTTCTATATTTTATGTGAAATTATTCACAGGAGACTTACCACTGAATGACAGCGTGACATTGGGAGTTGTTGAAGTGTTCATTTCCTTCCAACTTCTATGATTCACAGCTGAGGTCATAATCGGCCTGTGGGCAATTATATTGGTAGAAAGGATATCAAATAGATTCATATCCTGTCCAGTTTTTGGTGTTCTCTTAAGTTCATAAAGTTAGTTACCCTGTTAATCACATTTATGGATTAACTCTCTCATAACACCAGCCCGCCTCGTTTAGAGAATTAGGTTGTTTGATATCCACGGAATCAATTCTGCATAAAAGTCACCTCCTCGAAGCACCACTCTCCATGGTACTCTGCTGCGCATGTTGAATATATATATGACGTTTTTTTCAGGGTTTTTATACATATAGATAAGTTCTGCATTTCGAAGATACTAACACTTCTTTCTTCAGAGTCGTCCTCTTTAAGGTGCTGTGAAAAATCTTTAGTGCTGGGTCAGTTTCTGTCCAGGTTAGAAAACTCAAACAATAACCTTTCTCTCTACGCTGCCAGTGAGATACCTCATTTCGTCGAGCACGGCAAAAGAAAAAGCAAGGGCTGATGACCGCGTATCAGGATGGTAGCTATGTCGTCGCATGAGAGTGAGAGTAGTAAGTTACTTCATATATTTTCTGTATGTCTTTATGGACTACGGCCACTGTTCGAGTGGTAGACATGGAGTTGATGAAACATACTGGGAAAAGTGTAGCGCGGTGGGCACAGATCACAAAATGGCTAATAGTTATTTTGCTTGGGAGTCTGTTCCGGGTAACTGACTAACTAACTAATTACATATTTAGGTGACTAGTTAACTTGATGCGCAACTCATCCCAGTCCAATTAGCGTTTGCCAGTGACATCTGTTGACCTTTGAGTCTTGACTCCTGTAGCATCCAACTGCGCTCGCTGTCTGCATGTTGCTCAGGTTCAGCAGAAATGGCAGGACTACAAAAGCCTTGAGCTGTTTGCTGCCAGAGGGTTTCAAACGAAATGCAAGGCCTCAACAGGCAGCGATTTTACTACGCCCGAGTTACCTGCTCTTTTCTCCAGATATATTCTTTTTACGCCGTCCTTCGTTTCTCGTCAAATGTGTAACTAGTAAACTAGTTATCAGTCAACTATCAGATTAGCTCTAACTCCTGCCCTGATCCAATGAATATCAATGAGGCTTCGTCCTGTCTGGTTGAGCAACTTCCCGTCGATTCAGAGAGGCAGAGTAGTAGCCCAGCATGTCCCAACGATGGCGAAGAAAAAGAATCTGTCTTCAAAAGTCTAGGAATACTGGATCGTTTCCTTGCGGTATGGATTTTCCTTGCCATGGCGATTGGCATCATTCTGGCGAACTTCGTTCCCAATGCTGGTCCTGCGTTGCAAGAAGGAACATTTGTCGGAGTCTCAGGGCCCATTGGTAGGCATCCTCTCTCCCCCCAATGCTTTATCTCCATGCTAATTTATATCCTCAATAGCTGTTGGTCTTCTCTTGATGATGTACCCTGTCCTCTGCAAGGTCCAGTATGAGACTCTGCATCGTCTTTTTAGAACCCGTCAGCTTTGGATCCAAATCGCATTTAGTATCCTTTTGAATTGGATTATTTCTCCCTTCTTCATGGTATGTCACTCATATCATATTGAACCAGAAACTGGACAGTGCTCTGATTTGGATGCACATAGCTGGCATTAGCCTGGGCTTTCTTACCCGATGAGCCAGAGCTGCGTCAGGGGCTAATCCTGGTAGGAATAGCACGATGCATCGCTATGGTAAGTTGGTTTGGGACACACTTGGATATCAATCCATCATTTCATGGTCCTCTAATGCATTTGCCTCATAGGTCTTAATTTGGACAGGCTTAGCAGGAGGGGATGGAGACTATTGTGCAATATTGGTGGCGATCAATTCACTTCTTCAAATGGTACTTTTTGCACCGCTGGGAGTTTTTTTCATCCAAGTTATCAGTGGAGACTCTGTCAGTTTCGAATACACGACGGCTGCCAAAAGTGTCGCGGTATTTCTTGGAATCCCCTTGGGTGCCGCTATTCTTACACGATTTACAGTTCGGGGGTTGGCCAGCGAGCGGTGGTATGATCAAGTATTTCTGAAGTGGATCGGTCCATGGTCTTTAATCGGCCTCTTGTTCACAATCCTGGTCCTGTTTGCCTCCCAAGGCCGCCAGGTGGTTCACCAAATTGTCTCCGTTCTTCGAGTTGCGGCGCCTCTCATTGTATACTTCATCGTTGTCTTTTTCGTTACTTTATTTATCTGCTACAGGCTAGGATTCGGCTACAAACTGGCAACAACTCAAAGTTTTACCGCTGCTAGCAATAACTTCGAGCTGGCTATTGCTGCTGCCATTGCGACATTCGGGGCGAATAGTGACCAAGCTCTTGCCGCTACTGTTGGACCACTAATTGAGGTTCCGGTCCTGCTTGGCCTTGTCTATGCCGTTAAGCTTGTGGCGAAACGCTTGGGATGGAAGGATTAGAAACATGGGAAACATTCAGGTGACTATGCTTCAACATGCTAATATACACTGGGATAAAGGAACGAAAGACGCGTAAGTATAGAAAGGTGCACTATATTCCAACATATATAGATCTCAATATCTCTTCAGCTTCATGAACGTTTTTCTCAAAGAGCTGAACCTTCATATATTAAGTATTGTTTTTATTAAAAGTGAGGCCGTAACCACCTCAATATGTTGTGGAAGTCTTCCTGATCTTGTGTATCTTTCCTCGGTCTGTAAGGTATAGCTGCTATGCGTAAATTTTCTCTCAATTTATATGCATAGACATAGATCTCACATGCTAATTCTACACTGCGCGGGCTATTATTTAGTTTCATTCATGATAACCCGGAGTTGCAGGTCAACATCACGATCACGGATGCAATCGATTACCCCCCAGAGGTCGAGGTAGAATGGAGTCTAATCACCAACCGTGTTCGGAGTGTTTGTTTTGCTCTACCGTAGACAGCAAATATATGAATATAAAATAGAAAATATAAGAAACATACGACAGCCGGGATTCGCTGGTGGTCACCCACCCAACTACTAACCGGCCGGCGAGTGGCTTAAGTACGGCTGAGCGGACGGGAAGCCCTGTTTTCCACTCCCTGTGGTCGTATGTGCTGGGTTACACCTCGAACCGGATTAAACCCGCGGTAATGACGAAAAACTAAATTGATTGGAAGCATCTAGAGAGCTGTTCTCGGTGCTGGAAATAATAGAGAAACCCCGGATTTATGGGGGTAGTTAACCCGCTAACTGGATATGCCATGAGCTAAGCCACAGTTCGTCCAGTTTATTGCGGGACCCTTTGGATCACCAGAGGGTTTGGAGAAATACACAGCAAGATATGTGTGCATATGCTTTTTCAGTTGCTTATGATGTATATGCGTATCTACACTTTAAAGTGATACAACGCATATATTTCTGGTCTTGTTATATGGAGGGTGCTCCGAGTGCTCTCGGCTCTCGGCTCGGGCCGCATCCCGACACTTGAAGTAAACTTAGTAAAAACCCCGATCTCCGGGAAGGACAGAGAACTTCAACACAAGAATATTTATCGGAACATGAATTCGAATAAAAAAGAAAACAAATTGATATACTTTCAGTTACTTTTTTTTCTTTTCTTTCTTTTTTTCTTTTTTTGCCCCGTCCGTTCAATATTTCCATGTGTGCAACGGCTTCAGGCCAAGGTTCTACCCATCAGCTTCGGAGTAGGTTTCTTCATAGGAAAGAGGACGCTTAATTCTGCGGAGCTGGAACTACCAGTTAACTAGCTACATACTAAATGTTACCGTAGGAATGGAACACTCATCAAGCAAAAAAAGGTCTACATGTTCGCGGGCGTCCAGAGGCATTTCGAATATCAGTGGTTTTGCTTTTTTTTTTTTTTTTTTTTTTTTGTTTGAAATGTTTTTTGCATCTTTTTTAAGAGAAAATTGAATCGCGTATTAAGGGGGCTGATGGTACTTCATCCAGATGATCAGGCTTACATCTTCATTAACAACTGATAATAACAACTCAAAATACTGTGCCGTCGCTTTTGATGAGAATTGGACTCGACTTTGTTGGGCGACGTTGCGCCGCAACTTCACGGCCTGATTTCCACGTTCCGGCTTCGAGCAGCTGCGCCATAGTTAAATGCACTCCGTCCATCCGAGATAGAATCATTCCGTACAGCCTGTCGATCAGCACCAATGTCATGGCCCTCCACTCAACAATGACATCATCCCCCGCTTCGAAAAGCGGCAGTTCGCTGCCGGACGCTTTCAGCCCCCTCTCAAGGGCCTCTTTCTTAAGAGACAATACCCCTAGGTCGACGAAGAGACCACCGTTGCGGTATTCGGCCAAGGCGGTCAGTGATTCCGTGTTGGTCCACTTCAGGCCTAGGATTCGCTGGAATGGAACCATAAGCGAGTAAGCGAGCCACTGTGTAAGCTTGTGGAAAGGCTGAATGCATTTTGGGCTGCTCTCAGTACTAGGATCTGGTTTTGCCATTTGTTGCTGCAAAGCATGTAAAGGCCATGCATCGCCAATAGGATGCCCATTAATTGAAGTTCGGTGTTTGGGCCAGATGGGAATGAGGAGAGTTTGGAGAACGTCCCAGAATACGAGAATATCGAGTTCCGACGACGCGCCAGCAGATTGCACCATATGATCTACAGACATTCTTAAACTGTGTCCTCCTCCATGGGGGAAAATGATAATTGGGTTATAGGTGGGGTGCACTTACCGACAAGATTGCCTGGGCGGCCTTGATCCCCAAAGATATCATGATGGGAGAGTAAGGAATTTCCTAGTTCCCTCAGAAGAGCTGCACGGGAGTCAATCCCCAACATTGGGTTGCTTCCTGAAACTTGAAACCCTTCCGCCAGCGCATCGGAACTGAGCTGTTTCAGTCCCCTCCCTGACAACCATTTTCGAATTAGCATGTAAAACCTGTTAGATACGATCATCAGTAATTTACCGTCAACCAAAGGTGCTTTTCCATATTTCTCCGCTGTGAAAACCAGTGAGTTGAACATATGCAAGGAAGCAACCGCAATTCCTTCACTCCGTTCGTACGTCCGGCCTGTCCCTGGCTCAACATATCGCCACTCATCACCGGCCCCAGCATCCAGGAGCACAGAAACAAAAAACAAGTCAATTAGGCGCCTGGTAATTTCCACATTGTCGCAATTGTTTTTCTTCCAATCTTCCATCAGGTTTGCAATGCGAGGCACATTGCCTACCTCGAAATGCTGCCAACGGCCATGTGGGGGAATTGTGTCGAATTTGTCAGGGCCAAAATCCCGCTGGCGAAGATTGTCAGATTGCTCGCAATCTGTGTGTTTTGGACGGGAGCAGTCGATGAATGCTGAACATACTTTGATGACGGAACTGACGAAGTCCGCAACTTTCTCTAAGCGCTCTTCTTGCAAACTGAAATGGTTTAACTTCCCGGCCTGTGCTAAATCCTCTACAAGCTTTGCTCGTTCCCGAATAGCGCGGAGCGATAGGAGGTATTTGACTTCCGAATCCATTTTTGGCCTTATTATGTACGGTAATGAAATAATTTGGAACTTAAGGTAGCCATGTATTTAGTGAGGCGCGGGGGCTTGATATCTTTTCGCAAGGTGCATGGACATGTATCATGGATGGAACCCATGATCACATGATGCAACCAGCGCTTCCAAGTTCCAAGGTTTCGAAGGTTGGTTTGGCACCACCGAGGGTTTAAGGTATTATAATATCTTGTCGGGTTTCGGTCGGTGTAGAACAAAATGGAGTTGTTCGTTATTATATTTATCGAGACAGAAAACGGAGTAACATATTTGCCAAGGTCCACTCAATGTCCGCAACGCCCGTACCTCTTCCTCACACCTTTCTGGCCGATCAATCAAACTATCAATCAAGGTGCACTACTGGCCAATATGATGTCAGAGGTTTTGGTGAGGACCCTGACACCAAGTCTGGTGGTATCTTAACTGTAATCTCTGCATCAAGAATTTTTATTTGTTGTTTTAGGAATCAAGATTATACCTGAAATTCTGTAAGAGTCTGATTCTTCTGGCAAGATACCCATGCATGTATGCCCCTAATCTGGAGCAACAACACAGGTACAGGTAGCTCTGTGATACAATAGGGAAGATCAGGCCTTCCTGAAATTTTGCCAGAGGTTAAATTACCTGTCAAAGTTCCCAAGTTTACAAAAACGAGTTGGCGGATAGCCAATATATATCAATCATCGAAGAACATAAATGGACGCGCCACCTGGATAGTCTTTTTCCCCGCAAGCTTGTCATCAGGCCGCCTACTGCCTATCCGGGCGGTATGGATACGGGGGGAGTATTATTTCCCAACAATCTGATTGTGAATTCCAGCCTAAGATCCCCATTGGGGGCTCGAAATGACCTGGGCAGTTCGTGCTCAGACCGCGAACGGATAGCAATAGTACAACGGATCAGAAATAAAGTCAGGTGGATGAATCTGGATAAGAACCAGCAGTCAGTATCCTGTGTTTAATCTTGTTTTGTCGTTCATGAGTAGGTGGGAGAGAGGGCGGATACTAAAAGGTAAATTTACCCCAATGCCAACCCAAAGCTGAGCCCAATACCAGCAAACATGCGGGTTCTCTTTGAAATCTCGCCACAGCGGGGACCAGGTTGGCAAGGTTTAGAATTTAACAGCAGGCCTTGAATGTCGATGACGAAGGAGTAACCGCTCACAAAGGCATCGATTGCAAGGTTGAGAAAGAGCCACATTGGGCGCTGACGAAAATAGATGTAGGCTAGGTTGAGGAAGCTAAGGAAAGCCGCGGCAACGCTCTAGATAGGGGTTGTTCCAGTGGACATGAGCTCTTCCGATCCGTACACTGTTTCTCAACGAATGCGGAGGAAAAGGGCATTCTTACCAGTTCAATCATCATAACGCAACCGTCTTCTACTCTCCAGTCCAACTTATATTGGGAAGAGGGATACTGATTAATTATTACCGCGGCGAACAGGAAGGTAAAGGTTAGGACCGAGATGATGATGGACAGCCAGGTGAGGTAAAAAGTTCCACAGAAGGGCCTTCCCGGGGTCTGCCTGTAAGAAATAACATCATTTTGTTCGTTTGCAGTTGAAGCTCCGGCGGACGCGTCAATGAGAAGGGGAGTTGTCTCGGATCTATCTGTCATCTTGGATCGGGAATAAAGTCAATTCAGAAGCTTGGTTGGTTAGGTCTGTGAGTCTTTTTGTTTAAAATTCCCCTGAGATCCCCATTAACCAATGCTTTTGAATCTTTAAATGGGAAAGTCACATGCAGATTTCGTTTAAGAGGCAGATGCATTGAAGATGGCATTTCCAACTCAATAGGTTAAGGAGAAGGTAAATGTGTGCGGAAGGTTGACTGGCAGAGAGTAACAGGACGGGTACATATATAGTCGCTGCCTGTTTGTTGCGTCCATTTAATGATAGATAGGTTGTTTATTTATAGCTCTAGCCGTGTGTCAGCGGTAGTCATGTTTTGTGTCAAGTTCTTTAATTATTAGTTATTATTTAGTGGATGGCTGTCATGCCACAACGGTCAGCTCTTAAAATGGGTTGGACGGGAATTGATCAACAAAAAAACTTCGGAGAGATTTTCAACCAAGTTGTAGTAATCGTAAAAATATCACTCACCAGAGCGGCCCATTTTACGGTTGAGTCTTACACTGGGAAATTCGTTTATTATTCTGACTGAGATAAGGAAAAAACCACCCAAAAAAACAAAAAAAAAAAAAAAAAAAAAAAAAAAAGTGTACCCATAACCTTCTAACATAAGCTGCTGGAGAAGCCCTAGTGCTGTACAAGACGTGATCTTCACACATCCCAAGAATCTCCAGTTTCGTGGATGATGGGGTACATAACAAGCATTCACCGTAAAGCGTAGGTAGCTGCATTCAAAGTAGCAGTAAGCATCAAACCGATCAGTTAAGGTCGAATAATCAAGAAGACCACAGTGCTGGGTGGGACGGGTAAGTCAATATTGTGACGTATATTGAGCCAGAAAAGTGAGCGACAACGAATTTTTGCCAGCCCGCCAACGTAGTGATAAGTAAAGGCCGAGACGTAGGTATTCGCGACGTAGCTACACTTATACCCACACTTGGAAAGGTTGAGAAGGGCGAACGGAAAAGCCGGAATGTTGGAAGTTCAGCTTTTCTGTTTTGCGGTGTTAGCTCGAGGTATATAGAGGGACATGCATCTTGAGAAAGTCCGAGACATGGCTTTTGCGTTCTCCAAGTCTGCATGCTGCATTTCCTTTTCCTAAGATAAAGACTGAAGTATCCAGCATAGAAGGAGCCTTCATTCTTTTGGCAATTCGCCGAGGTGACCGCAGTGGGAGAAATTGTCCGGCAAACTCCGCTGGTGATAACCTCCCCACATCAAGTCTGCTGATGACGGGACGATATGTAGCCATTTGCGATGCCTCTGTTTAATGTGAACTTTGAATAGTCCAAATCCTAAATATCTGGATGGCATTTATGAAACTTGATCTCAGGTATGTTCGTGGTATATTGGTTGAGCTGTGTGGTTTAGTTATAGGCAAAATAGGACGTCGGCTCACTTCAACCAGAAAGACAAGATGTTGCCTCCAGCAATACTGGGAGATCTACCTTTCCAAATATTCAGGTCTCCGGTGAAACGAAATTGAATTAAAAAACGTATTCATCCCATCCTTACTCTGGATGCTGTTGTTGGCAAGGGACCAACTCAGCCATTGGGAAGATAAAAAGGGGGATCACATGACTAGGTGTCAAACAAGGCTTATCTAATCAGTGGAAACACCAACATCCGATTCAAATCTGTCCAATCCTTGAATGTTCGAACCCTTGCAATAGCGAATGAATATAACCGGGGATTCAAAGCCACCAGTCTCATTAACAGAATCAGCACTAGGTAATTACATAACTAACTTGCATCTGCTAACTAGAATTAACTTAACTAACTAATTAACTTAGTAGAACGCTAACGTTGCTTGCTGGGGGCTGACTAACTAACTATCATCATGAATGATATCCCCTCATAGCCCGCGGGTTTTTCCGTTGGATGTGAGACAGCCTGCCAGACTGCGCTAGACCTAGTTCTGGTCCGCGAATGCTGGGAAGAGAAAACATCTTAACTAGTTAGTTAATTTGGGCCGGGTGTCGTAAAAATTGAAATCCGCGATGAGTCTTAGCAATCCGCCGCATTCCGCCAGCGGGAGCTCGATGTCAGATGCCGCTTCGACAAGATCCACCTTTGCTGGCGGTTTGAATAACAACGGAAATCAACCCGGCAATAACAGCAGCAGCCAGCATCACCAAACCCGAAATCTAAAGAGGAGTGTTCAGGCAGCTTTTGACGGTAATTAAGTTCACTATATTTTAATTCATTTTCTTTGGTTGGCCTCCAGAGCGCGCTTATTGCCTCTCCTCTTTAGTCTCCACTTTCCATCCATGCCATTTTGTCTTCGTTGGCTCGGTTGCGCAGACATAACCATGGCTTTTCAGCGGAATCAGCCCCGCCCCAGCTCTTTGGTTTACCGTTTTAGCTGAAACTTAATGAATTTTCCTTCCGCTGTAACGCAGCTGGGAAAATCAATGCTGCATTCTACATTTGGTCATCAAAATATACATTCGCACACATTTTATCCTGTCCCCCTTTACGTATCGTCCACCCTGCGTATTATTGAACTGCTTTCTCAATTTTGATGTGGATTCCGATAACTACCAAATTATACTTGCTTTCAGCACTATTAATCTTACCTTGAATCATGTCAAAACGTCGCATTCACGAGTTGAACTCGTTGAGAGTGAGCCTTCTTCGAGGTAATTCCCTAACTCCGAACCGAGCCTGGGTTTATTTACCCTTCCACTTGACCTTGGTTTTGACCTTGGTTTCAAGTTTATCTTTTTTTAACTTCGCAAAATGTGTCCTTTCGGATGCTGGGGCTGGGTGAAGCTATCAACCTCCTTCGATCCACTATCTCGCTTTAAGCCCCCGCCCTTTATATACTTTTTCAACCCTTCAAAGCTGCACCGCAGAATTTCCCCTTTTTTGATATCAAATTGCTTTAACGCTTGGATTTCTATCTTTCTTTCCCTTTTCTCTGCACACACATACCATCATTATCTGTAACTGACTAGGATTACTTTTGTAGATACGCTGGAACTGAAAAAGTCTCCTGGATGCGGATACACCAGCAAAGTTCATATTCGAGAGAAATATCATATTGTCGGATTTATTAGTAGTGGTACCTATGGCCGAGTCTACAAGGCAATCGGCAGAAATAGCCAGAAGCGCGAGTTTGCCATTAAAAAGTTTGTGGTAATAAGCCTTCCACAATTTATATCTGCGGAAACTGACAACCACAGATTTAAACCCGACAAGGAAGGGGAAGTAATTCAATACACAGGTCTGTCCCAGTCAGCGATTCGAGAAATCGCGTTATGTTCTGAGTTGTCACATGCAAATGTTGTCCAATTGGAAGAAATAATTCTCGAGGAAAAGTGCATCTTCATGGTTTTTGAGTATACCGAACACGACCTTCTGCAGATTATTCACCACCACACCCAGCCTCCACGACATGCCATTCCCGCTCCAATGGTAAAGTCCATTTTATTCCAGCTTCTGAACGGCCTTCTCTATCTCCACAGCAACTGGGTTTTACATAGAGATCTCAAACCTGCCAATATTCTAGTCACATCGACTGGTGCTGTTCGAATTGGTGATCTCGGCCTCGCCCGTCTATTTTACAAGCCTCTGAATTCGCTTTTCTCAGGTGACAAAGTGGTGGTAACCATTTGGTATCGCGCCCCCGAATTACTACTTGGGAGTCGACATTATACACCTGCCATTGATATCTGGGCAGTTGGCTGTATATTTGCTGAATTGCTTTCGCTCCGTCCAATATTCAAAGGCGAAGAAGCCAAAATGGATGCCAAAAAGACAGTGCCGTTCCAACGGAACCAAATGCTTAAAATTATCGAGATTTTGGGCGTACCGAAAAAGGATACTTGGCCCGGGCTTACATCCATGCCGGAATATGCACAGCTTCAGTCACTGGCCTTGACACGTGGCGGCAACCAACTGAACAAAACGTCTAACTTAGACGCCTGGTACCACACCTGTATCAAGTCAGCCGGATATCTGTCATCACCGTCAGGCTCTCCCGGTCGAGAAGGATTTGATCTTCTCTCCCGCCTTTTGGAATACGATCCGGCAAAGAGGCTAACGGCCAAAGAGGCACTGGAACACCCATATTTCTCGACTGGTAGTCCTGTAGCAGCAAACTGCTTTGAAGGTTTTGAAGGGAAGTATCCTAATCGGCGAGTTAGCCAGGATGACAATGATATTCGAACGAGTAGCTTACCAGGCACAAAAAGGAGTGGGCAACCTGATGATACAAGAGCGGCAAAACGAAATAAGGAAGGATAAACGCTGGCCGGAACAGTCGTTATTACGGGGTTTGGAGCAGTTATTAGGTGCAATTTTTATGGCTGGGCGGAGTTAGCAGAATATATCTGTGTGTGCTTTTGTTTGATGGCATCTAATTTCCATTCTTGTATCTTCTGCTATATACTGTTTTACCTTGCCTTATATTCATGTCCCTTGTTCTACTTGTAATACAAACGCTTTTGATGTATATTGCAGCTTATTGCATCATTACCTGGGCTCTGCGGGCATAGGAGACCGAAGTATGGCTCATCGTCACAAAATTCCAGTATAAACATTATTTCTTGGGGAATATTTAGCGAGTCGAAAATTCAATTAAAGTATATCAGCAGTGTAATTGGATAATAGAAATTCCTAGATCCAACCTCTCAAGGCACCTTGGTACCTATGTCTCATGTCATTGAGAATCATAGATAACGATTTTTCGGATCGCAGTCAGCCGCTTTCTAAATGATATATGGCCCAGGGTCGCCCGTAGCAACCAACAACATTCATTTGGCATTTCGTGGCTTTGAAGATTCCAATTCTGCAAAATGCTGGAAACAAGGATGAATAGCGGAGATTACGTCTAATCGAGCATGTTTCAGCCTTGATTTCGTCATATAAGTGAGCGATCGATCTCTCCCTCACGACGTAGATATATTAAACGCGTTAAGCGCGGGAACTAAACCCGATCTGCATGGCCTTTTTTATTTACGGTACCGAGTGAAACTCAAAACATCACACATACCCCCTTTGTTTTCTTCTCTGTCGCAAAACAAAGTCCAAGATCGTCAGGACTCCTATTGCCTCGGGACTAAAATCCATCCTCCAGCAATGCCACAAACCGCCACAGAGGGGCTCTGGAGGTGACGCATCGTATGTGGCTGGGAATTTAGTTAGTTAGTTCATAGCCGAGCTCCACCCAGCAAACGAGGGGTTGGTGTGGGATGAATGGAATGAATGGAAAGTATGGACCTGAAGAGAATGAATTTGGTGCGCGTTTTAACAAAAAAATTTTATAAATCGGAGCCGATACTGGCTCTTAAGATGAACAGACATAATGTTGTACGTACATTGTCCCCAGCGGACTATGATGTAACTAACCACCTTGTAATGAAACATCGCAAGTCCCCACAGCTAGTAGTTACGCCAAACCTTCTGACGTGGAATGTACCGGCCCATCTTAAAGCCGCCACAACCTCCAAACTATTAAAGTCTCTGCATGATTTGCAAATCCTACTGCTGAGCGACAATTCAATATCTGCTCTACCCTAATTCCCTGCTTTTCTGTTCTTCGTCACAAAAACCCATAGATCTCCTTCGGCAACGAGACATCCCTCAGGAACCAACAAAAGAGAAAAGTTCTGCACCAGTTTTCTCTATCTACCAACCTCCTTAGTTCCTCCATCCTCCAAAGTTAAAAACCCACAACAAAAACATCCCATCAACAATCCAATTCAATCAAATAAACATTACAGAAGTCCTATCCGAACTAGCCTCGATTTCCCTCATCAGCATCTACGATATAACGCGAAGCTTTCCACGCCTCTCTCTCTGCCCAAACCTGGGCCGAAATACCAGCATCTCCCTGCAACCACCCACCTTGATATCGGAGGTAGATCAGAACCATGCCCTTCTTCTACTCGAAACGTATCGGGGGTCGACACGTTTCCACCGGTGTTACCGTTGACCGCCACGGCGTGCACAGAGCGCCATGGAGCGTCAGAATCGGACGTTTCATGTGTTTTAGATGAACGCATTGCACACTTTTGCTTTTTGATTTGGATTTGGATTTGGGGGTGGTGGTTGGATGGTTTGAAGTGGTTATGACGCTGGTTGATGTGAGGGTGTGACGGTTATGATATGATATGGAGATGATAACCCATTGAGCTGGATGGGCGCAGTGTTGTGTTTTTGAAATATATTTCTTTAAATGAGGCATGGTGTTTTATGAACGCTGCTATTTATTGTGCGGGGGCTGTGTTCATTTTTTCGGTATCGTTTCCTGCTTGTTTTTCGGGGGCGGTGGGTTGAGAGTGTTTAAAGGGCTCGAATCAGTAGTTTCACCTTTTTTCTGCGAGTTTGTGATGTCCCACACTTCAACTTACTATCAAATAGGGAACGCGGATTACCCTTTTAGATCTTAAAGGTAGTTCCTATATTTGATAGATGTCTCAAAGGAGGGATATATGACCCGGAGGCTGTTCAAACTAGATCACAAACAAATAAAGAGACACAATAAAAATTAATGGAAATAAACTAAACCAAAGTTGAACATCCCTTGAGAAACTTGTCCATGAATCATTATTCCCATTCATTTTGTTGTACAATATTATGGAAGTATTACACGCTCAGAACCAGACGATGAAAAATTAGGGATTAGAAGAACAAGGTATCAGTTGTCATCAATAACCTGTCTCAGACAGATTAGCATAATTTATACGAACTCCTCATGGAACGGGAAACTCACCACTCTGCTCCCTCCGACCGTCACCAGCATCACCGCCACTTCCACCGTCCTTACGCGATCCAGGCCCAGACCCAGACGCCTCCACCGCCACCCCAGCCTCCCTAATCCCCTGATCATCACCTCTCAACTTCTCAAAATAAGCCTTAATATCCTCAGCCCCAACAGGCTGACCACTCTCCGCAAATGGCTTCAAGAACTCTTTCACCTTGTCCTTTAAATGGTTGTACACCATCACCCCCTCAATTGCACGTACACGGTCTATGTTACTTAACGCCGCCTCTCCGCGATCCAGAAGGCTCCCTGTATGATGGCTGCCAGCGCCGTTGGGGTTGTCCCCATCTTTGGAAAGCGGGGGCTCGTATGTGTCCTCCTCCTCGCGGAGTTGGGGGTGTGGGATCAGATTGGGGAAACAGGATGGGCAGCGGCAGAGGTAGTCGCGGAAATCTTCTTTGAGGAAAAGGGAAAACGTGCCAGAGGGCCAACTGGCTGGGAGGGTCTCGTGCTTGGGCTTTGAGGACTTGGTAGATTTCAACTCAGGGTCTGTCGGGACCTCTGTTGACGTTTCCTCCTTGGATCGCTTGGCGTCAGGCTCATCGTTTGAATTATCTTCAGGTTTTCGTTTCCTAGAATTGGTTGTTGGTGTATCGTCCTTGGGTTCCTCAGTAACTTCTGCCGTGACATTTTCATTCGTGGCATTTGACGCAGGCGCATCCCTTTTGTAAACGCAGGCAAGAATCCAGGAGTCCCAGCGTATCGCTTTAGCCAAGGATTAGAATCTAGGCACTTGTAGCAAATAAAAGCGTCGAAATCATCCTCGTCAGGGAACTGTGGAGGTAAGGGTGGTTCGTCGTCTGCTTCTTCATTGGGAAGGGCAAAATCAGCTGTTTTGGCATCTCCGTTCTGCCCATCCTTGTCCTTTGTTTCGGCGTTGAGAATGACTCTCTTATTCACACGCGTGTCGCCAATTACGCGGAGGTCTACGAGACGCTCTCGATGATGACGATCATCTACGCGAGCATCTAGTTCCATAGTCCCCATGCCCGAAGCCATTCATACTAGCGCTGAGGCCCATAAAGAGGTATATGCTTACTCTGACGCTGTTTGGGAGTCTGTTGAGACGAAGCTCTCTCTGCGCTGTCTGGTGGTCGCTTCAGTCTGCTGTGGCATCCCGTTTTGTGGTGTCTGAGATGTGGGCTCATCCATTTCCAACGTGGCTAAGAATACTGGATCTACTTGAAAGAGTATACTAATTTAAGATAAGCAAGACAATGCCCTGACATAACCATCAAGTTGCTAGGGATAGAGTATAGAGATAGAAAAAATGATGTTGCGCGAGAGCGGCTCGGGGGAAAAATGTTTGCTTTGTTTGCATCGGGCGTGCATCGGCGAACTACGACTACGCGCTTTTCCTATTTGGGCCTTAAGTGGCACGCGTCAACCTCGCGTTAATTTTCCGCGTGGTGCTCTTTCTTCTTCTGGACGCGAGTTTCTTCCCTGCTTAATTAAGCCCTTTCCCTCTTTTTTGTCTTCGCCAACAACAACATTCTTCAACGACACACCGTCGTTTATCTGTGGATGACCCACCTCTGAATATAGCTATACATTCAGATCGGAATATACGGGTTAAGAATCCCAAAAGGCTTCCTTAGTACGGCCAAAAGATAGTCAAAATGAGGTATTGATTATTCCCTGGAGCGTTTCCTGGAGGTTCTAGTTAACAATGTCTGTTATGTACAGTTCCCCTCTACACCCAAGCAGTTCAGCTGCAAATCGCGGTTTAGGGAAGCTTACTAGGCGAAAGCGATCTCGTGAGCCAGATGATGATAATTCTTCAGCTCTCCCTCCTTCCAGTCGTAAGTTCGCGCGACCCTGTGTGTTAATACGGCGCAAAAGAAACATATGCTAACCAACGAGTAGCGCCGCCTTCCTCCCCCCCAATGCTGCCTCTCGAAGATGACGATGCGGAAAACGATTTGGACGAAGAGGCCGATTTCATTGGCGATATCGACGATGCTGATGAGATGGCAGAAGAAGAAGACGGCATTGACCTTTTCGCTGACACTTTTGAGCGCGACTACAGACCGCGCGGCCCTGAGGCATACGAAGGAGATGATATCGATGATACGGGAGAACACGAAGAGCTGGATTTGGCCACTAGACGTCAACTTGAAGCCAGACTCAACAGACGTGATAGAGAACTTGCTCGAAGACGACGCATGCCCGCAGCATTTTTGCAGGATGATGAAGACGATGGGAATGTCGACCTTACAAAACAGCCTCGTAGACGACGGCATCACTACGACGAGGATGCTGACGAGATGGACATGGATATTATGGATGAAGAGATGACCCTCGAAGCCTTGGCGGAAATTAAAGCTGCCAACGTTACCGAATGGGTTGCCCAACCGTCTGTCCATCGATCCATATATCGCGAATTTAAGTCTTTCTTAACCGAATTTACGGACAAGGACGGTACTTCGGTTTATGGAACGCTTATTCGAAACTTGGGAGAAATAAATTCTGAATCTCTCGAGGTTTCGTATGCCCATTTGAGTGATTCGAAGGCCATTGTAGCTTATTTCCTGGCCAATGCCCCCGCAGAGGTTTTGAAGATTTTCGATCAGGCGGCAATGGAGGTAACCCTACTCCATTATCCCGACTACCATCGCATTCATAACGACATTCACGTTCGTATCACCAATCTTCCAGTTATGTACACTCTTCGACAACTACGCCAAAGTCATCTTAACTGTCTGGTTCGTGTCAGCGGAGTTGTAACCAGGCGAACTGGTGTTTACCCCCAATTGAAATACGTCATGTTCAATTGTACCAAATGCGGTATTACATTGGGACCGTTCCAGCAAGAATCAAACGCTGAGATCAAAATCTCTTTCTGCCAGAACTGCCAGAGTCGTGGCCCTTTCACTCTTAACTCTGAAAAGACTGAATACCGCAACTATCAGAAAATGACCCTTCAGGAATCCCCCGGAACAGTCCCCGCTGGACGACTTCCACGACACAGAGAGGTTATTCTTCTGGCAGATCTCATTGACTCTGCAAAACCAGGGGATGAAGTGGAAATTACTGGAATCTATCGCAATCACTACGACGGCCAGTTAAACAACAAGAACGGCTTCCCAGTGTTTGCAACGATCTTGGAGGCTAATCACCTAGTGAAATCCCACGACCAACTCGCTGGTTTCCACTTGACTGAGGAGGACGAGCGGAAGATTCGAGCGTTATCGAGAGACCCTCAGATCGTGGACAGGATTGTACGATCCATAGCTCCAAGCATTTATGGCCATGAAGACATCAAAACTGCTGTAGCACTCTCTCTTTTTGGTGGGGTGAGTAAGGTGGCCCAAGGAAAGATGTCCATCCGTGGTGATATCAACGTACTCCTCCTTGGCGATCCAGGTACAGCCAAGTCCCAAGTATTAAAATACGTTGAGAAGACCGCCCACAGAGCTGTTTTTGCTACCGGTCAAGGTGCCAGTGCCGTCGGTCTCACAGCTAGTGTTCGCCGTGACCCATTGACAAGCGAATGGACGCTTGAAGGTGGAGCGCTCGTGCTCGCTGACCGGGGTACATGTCTTATCGACGAGTTTGACAAAATGAATGACCAGGACCGCACGTCCATCCATGAAGCCATGGAACAACAAACAATTTCAATATCCAAGGCGGGCATTGTCACAACACTCCAAGCACGTTGTGCTATTGTCGCTGCAGCCAACCCTATTGGAGGCAGATATAACGGCACCATTCCATTTTCCCACAACGTCGAGTTGACAGAGCCTATTCTTTCGCGTTTCGATATTCTCTGTGTCGTTCGAGACACAGTTAGCCCAGAAGAAGATGAACTATTGGCGAAATTCGTCGTTGACTCACATTCCAAAGCCAACCCTCCTAGACCGCAGACCGATGAGTATGGAAACCCCGTTCCACGTGAAACCTCTGGGGATGACGAGGATGAAGAAATGGGCGAGTCTCATCCCGTGAATGGAGAGTCCGGGGGAGCAGAGCAGATTCCCCAAGAGCTTCTCCGGAAATATATTCTGTATGCCAGAGAACGGTGTCGCCCAAAACTATATCAGATCGACCAAGACAAAGTTGCCCGACTCTTTGCAGACATGAGAAGAGAAAGCTTAGCCACGGGGGCATATCCAATTACCGTATGTGGCTCCTTTGTTGAACGTTGGAATCTAATGCATATGCACCTATCTCGATATGATCTCGAAATAAATACTCCACTAACTCCAATCTCCACCAGGTCCGTCATCTCGAAGCCATCATGCGTATTGCTGAAGCATTCTGCAAAATGCGATTGTCGGATTACTGCACCGCTCAAGACATCGACAGAGCGATTGCTGTGACGGTTGACTCGTTCATCAGCAGTCAGAAAGTTAGCTGTAAGAAGGCTCTTTCGCGAGCGTTCGCTAAGTATGTCTTCCCCTTCCCAATTATGTCGTTAACTTGTTGTATTGTCCGGTCTTGTGTGCTAACGCTTTGCTCTTTAGATACACGCTGGCTAGACCCGGCACACAGAAACGGCGGGGACCAACTGTTGGCGCTAATTCTGGGCTATCATCAGGCCAGCGCAATGGCATGGATCGGAGGGGACTGTGAACCAAGCTTATGAAGCTATTTCGTCGTGAATGTTTCATTGCATGGGTCTGTTGGGTTTACTTTCTCATTTACAATTCATTTCCTTTTTATTTTCCCTTGCAGAACTGTGTTTGTGCATACCATTTTCATTGCTGGAGTTAATGGATGGGGATAGAAATGATCATGATGGGATATTTTACTGTTGAGTTTCTTTCGCAAGATGGATACGTGATAATGCATCTGTAGTCTGCCTGACTCTGATTCCCTGAACGCATCCTGCAGTACAATCATGGATATATATCTTGGTCATTCAGAGCTATCTACTCCACATACACTGTGCAACCATGCCAGCAAGCACGCGGACGACCCGTAGCTGCCAGATAACAAGCAAGCGGCCGCTATTTCCCCGTTGTGACAGGACATAGGGAAGATAAACGCCAAGCCGCGCGGTAGTGAAACAGCCAATCGGACCCCCAGTCAAAGCAATGTGGCGCAAAGCCCAGGCGTTGGGTATTTCTTCCCCATTCGGCGATCCCATGAAAAAATTCCTTTTGTTGCTCTTGAAAAACTTGATTGCCGAGACGCCGGCCTGCTTACCAATCGTTAAGGGAATCGCATTCATTATGGATGGCCCCAGACTGCCTGGCTTGCTTATGATATCGGTTCATCTAGAACACAACCCCCACTAACACGTCGAACCAGTGGAAGGAGATTGAAACCACTTTGCTCCCGCAGCTCGGAGCGCATATGGACGCCAGGTGCTTGGAATCATGTCTTCCAAGGATTTTAGGTGGGATGCTGGTTTTGGAATTCCGACGACAGGACAGTTTTTAACTGGCTAGTCCACGGACTAGCAGACAGCTTGGCTCAATTTTTCCATCTTATTTCTAATGATGAGTTTCGTCTATTGTAAAGAAGAATTATCTTGACCGTTTCATGTCTTGTCGATAATCTAGCGGCGCATTTTCCTATATAAATGTTCATATGTTTCTATGATTTTTGCTGTTGGTAGTAGGGGGTCGTATCTTGCAGACACATACTTTATAATAATATAAAACATATCTCATCCTGCAACAGCAAAGCAGGTATCGCACTTCGCTTGGCGATGTTCGTAACATCTTATTTCTATTCATCATGACCGCTCTAGATACCCATCCACGCGCTCCTCGTGAATACTCGACAGCCAGTGAGTCTGAAAGAAAGCGATTGCGCTCGAAGTTTTGGGGTAGGCAAAATGCCTCCAATCCACAGGCCATCCGCGCCAATAATATCGAAGGCGCTGAAGATGTAGAAGATACCGTTGAAACATCTGTTTGCGATGGGCGTCAGCCAGCACTGCCTCCTGTGGAGACTCTATCAGAGAGCGATATTGAGCGGTTGGGAAGGGAGCGCCCAGTTATTTTTCGAAATACGTGGACTGAGATTGCATTTGTGTTCTCGATAGTTATGTCGCAGGTGCTTGCGGTGCGTTTTAATCTCCTCCTCCTACTCCTCCCCCCCCCCCAACCTTTTTGTGAGCCTTTAGACGGATGGATTTGTTTTGTCTCCATTCATGATGTGCATGTGCTGATGTAACATCATCTCCGCGTTCCCGTGTTTTAGGAGTATTTCATATCTGGCATCAACGTCGTGTTACCAACGCTGGTGGATAAATTGGATATCCCTGAGGCCTCCGCCGTATGGCCTGCAAGCGCCTTTTCCCTTGTGGTAGCCGCGACATTGCTGATCTTTGGTCGGATTTCCGATATGATTGGCGGCTATCCAGTGTATGTCTTTGGCATGACATGGCTGTTCATCTGGTCCGTAGTGGCTGGGTTCTCTCAAAACCGGTTGATGATGATCTTTTGCCGGACGCTGCAAGGCATCGGTCCCGCTGCATTCCTTCCGTCGAGCATGATGCTTCTTGCGAAAGTCTATAGACCGGGACCAAGAAAAAATATGATATTTGCCATCTATGGGACCTGTGCTGTTATTGGATTTTTCATTGGCATCTTCTGCTCGGGGGTCTCAGCGGAATTCCTGTCGTGGGAATGGTATTTCTGGATTGGTGCAATTCTCGCAGCTGTTACCGCCGTGTCTTCGTTTTTGACCATCCCATCCGATACTGCTGAGGCGCGGAAACAGGGGGTTAAAATGGACTATATGGGTGCATCCCTTATCGTTCCAGGGCTGACATTGAGTATTTTTGCAATTACGGATAGCGCGCATGCCCCTGACGGGTGGAGGACCCATTATGTGTACATCTGTTTCATAATCGGCTGTATACTTCTGGGGCTCGCCGTATATGTCGAGGGTTGGGTTGCTGAGTCCCCGTTGTTACCGTTTGAGATTTTCGATGTCCCTTACATGAAGCCACTGGTTGTTGCGCTCTTATTTTTCTATGGTTGTTTAGGGGTTTTCCTCCTTTACGGAACCCTGTAGTATGTGATCCCCGGCCCCAAACTTCGCTCCGTAACTCTTAACCCTCTTCTCTGTTCCCGTATCTAACAGATTTTCATTTAGCATGGTGCATATCATGAGGGCATCGCCAATGCAGGTAGTTGCGTGGTGTGCACCTATGGTCATTGGCGGCTTCATCTTTCCCATCCTCTGCGCATTATTCCTCCACCTCGTCTCAGGAACAATTCTTCTTGTAATTTCCGGTATTGGATGGCTTGGTACCGGTCTGCTGTTCGCCCTCATGCCGGAGGGAGCCTCATATTGGACCTTTGCCTTCCCTGCCATGATCGGTGCCACGCTGGGCATCGACATCACCTTCAACATAACGAATATATTCATCACGACTAGCCAACCCAGCAAGCGACAGGGCTTAGCTGGTGCTGTTATTAACTCCGTTCTGCATTTGAGTATTGCTGTTCTCCTCGGGTTCTCGGACATAGCGCAGGTCCACACGGCATATCTGGGCAGGCTGAAGAGCTACAGGGTTGTGTTTTGGTTTGAGGTTGCATGTGCAGCTGTTTCCCTGTTGGTTATGATTTTTTTCGTGAGGGTCAATGCGGCCAAGTGCGAGATGACGGCAGACGAACGAGAGCGGTTGGAGGAGATGGAGCAGTCGGTTGTGCAGGGATCTCAAACTCAGCTGGAAAAATAGTTACTATCATGGAGGATGGAGGATGGATAGAGTGGTCACGTATACAATGACTTACGCTTCTGAATAAAAGGGAACTGGGTATGTATATGGCAATACCAATTAGAGGGTAGATCTCTTCCGATATTTGGCTACATCAATTCAGCGTTGCTTGCTTGGATTTTTTGATTTTCTTGCACTGTGGAAATGGAAATAGAAAGTTAGGAAATTTCAATACCTGAACTAATACTGATGGTAATATAATATTTTGTACAGTTTGATTTGAGCTAGTTCTTTGTAGAGCAGAAAAAATATTGCGCTTGATGGTGACAGTGTTAGAAGAAGGGTTGATGCCGTGGGTGAGAGAGAAGTTTAACTCACATAGACGAAATGAGGAATATTGCTGGAAAGAATAATATTTGGAAACACCACTATTGCAGTACACGTAATTGCAATTTGAAAAAGAGAATATGTTGTTCTCGGACTGAAACACATATTCTGATAATGTAGATGTAACTCCCGCAGTCATGATTTTGAATAACAGGATATAATGGAAACACATATTAACCGTTGGTCTGCACCTTACCATCATGCATATCAACATCTGAACATAAATGCAAGCGGTGGATTTTGACACTAAAGAAAACCTCGAGTTTTGATATACCCATCTATTGCTTGTTTATATTTTCAACCACAGTCCACATCCGTCGTGAACCCACTTTCCCTTCAATTTCGATCCAATTCTAGAAACTAGATTGTCCCTCAGTGCTTCAAGCTGGAAGTCAAATGATCGGAACTCAACAAGTTTTCCCTGTACGCCAAGATATCTGACCGAATGTGAGATTAGCGAGTAACTTGTATCCAGCTCCATCCATGGGTCGTTAGGATCCAGCGTTCCTGTTCGTTGTTCCTCCTCGAAAATTGTGCTAGTTGGTTCCGGTGCAAGCTGGAAGCTTAAGTGGCGAAGGTTGGACATGTTACGGATCACCTTTAAAACTAAGTTGGTGTGATTGTAGAAAGGGAAAACAGCAGTGTAATGGAACGAAGTTAGGCGGGAAATAGCTCCGACAGGATAAGGTAGATCCTTGGATTGGAGAGGATCAACAGCACCCCAGTGTTCCATAAGCGAAGGGACGCGAAGGAGATAGTATTCGTAGTTGCTATACGCTTTTAACGAAGAGCCCTCGTTGAACAGAATTTCCGACCATGGCCTAACGCTAAAGAAGGTATCATCCGCCTCTGGTGTTTCAAAATCAAGCAGCCTCTGAGCCGGTTGGTGAAATTGCATAGTTTGGAGGGGCAGTTCAAACGCCCATGAGTGAGCGCTATTTAAATTGCAAAGCGCCATATCCGCAAACACATAAGGTGGAGCTATGATCGTGATGTCCTGTGGGTCAACCTCCTCCAGCAACATCTTCCACCATCGAGACTTCTCACTACCAGGAAATATGGATCGCACGGAAACCACGGCAGATTGTACATGTCGAGCAAGCCCGTGCTGGCGAAGGAAAGCTAGGAAACGTCCTTGATCTCGTAACTCGTGGCGGGTGTAAGCGAAGAGGAGAGGCCGGGCCAGATCTCGAAAACGAGAAGATGTTCGTGAAACATTTTTCAGATCTACGCCAGGAGACGATGTGATGTTGTAGTTGGGCACTTGACGGAGGTTCTGTGCAGAGGGAGGAGGGTCTGAAGAGAGGTAGGAGAGGACATGGTCAATAAGTTCATTGGGAAGAGTCTCAATCGAAACAGCAGGGGATGCAGGAAATAAGATCCTGCCGGCCATGTGGAGGAAAATATCTTGTGGGATTCATTTAGTAAAACCAAACCCGTCAGCGATTTTGCCAGCATGGGAAGATGCAGTCTACGCACTTGTCACGCATGGATATCGGCATTTGGCCCATGCAAGGCTGCTGTTTCGTGATGTGTGTTTTGATGAAGAAAACATGCGGCTGATCTAGCCTACTGCTGAGTAAGTTGATAAAGTTAACCGACTAACTAGTTAACTAACTAGTTAGGGTTAAGTGAGGCGCGTGACGTCACTGGGAGTTCTATAACCAACTATGCAAAAGGAGCCTTGACATACATCGTTGGACATTAATTGCACACTCGAAATAGGTAATATCCCATATTAACCGACTAATTGACATTAAATCACCAATGTCTGATGAACTTGTTTTATCCATTCTTCAATAGGCGAAAGTTTCATAGTCTGCATCCGTAGTTATCGGGATTCTCTCCTCTACCTACCCCTCGGCTCTCGTCTGCTTGACCGTCATTTTTGATTCCTCCTTGCAGAGTTCCCCTTGGACTCCGGGATGTGGCTAAGGCTCACTCAAGAGTAGCCCCGGTCAATGACCAAGTTCGTCTGAGGCTGGGGCTGAGGTTGAAGCTGGGGGGAGAGTGATAATAATGTCAGGGGAAAGCGTCAGACTTCGCATCATGGCGCGAGTAGCACGTCTTAGCACGTCCTAGCATGACTTGAGTCTCATTGCATGCTGAAGCTGCACAAATCCAATTTTATAATGAGAGATTCTTTGAAGTTTCCGTTTAATAGACTTCTTCATAGAAACTTGTTGTAATAAATCTAATAATATCATGGTATGTTGTCTTTATCTGGGGTCCTTCCAGCATATCACAGTCATCAACGATAAATATTCCTTGGACAAACTAACTGTGGTTTAAATACGCTAAACTTGCATTCAAATAATACATTTGGAACGACGGATGTTCAACGGAGCTAGTTGCTGAAATCCAAAAAATGGCATTTATCCATGTTTGGCCCCGCAGGTTCCCTTGACAGACTTGGGAGAGCACGGCAAGGTTTCTATCCCTAATTATTCACGTGCGATGGTAGCTGGCCATGGTAGGGTCAGCTACAGTAAGAATCACTGGCAATAATCTCTGATTCACTGTAGCATGGCTACGAGATAGATTTCAATTAGTCGAACCCCTCACTCTGTCGATCTCCCTTAGCTACGTACCTAGATTGAGACATAAAGTTCCACATCCTCACCTCCAGAAAAGTGATACGAACAATAAAGATCATAATCGCAATCATGGTTGCTGGAGTTCCTCGAAGCCTCCCATTCCGTGCAGAGCACATTGGGTCTTTGCTTCGTACGGAAGCATTGCTGAATAAGAGAAATGAGGTCGACGCTAGACAAGCACCGCCGGAGGAGCTCAAGGCCCTTGAAGAGAAGGATATCAGGGAAATTGTCGAGATGCAACGGAATATTGGTTACAGTGCTATAACCGATGGGGGAGTATAGACGCCATAGTAAGTGCTGCTTCTATCATCTATGCAAACGATACCTTGTACGTAGACGCGATGCCTCCCTGACTTTATGTAGTGTTTTGGGGTCCATTTTTTTCTAGCTTACGAGGAATGGAGAAGGTCAAAAATCCAACCCTTGACATATTCCGCGCGTATCTACCGGATGTCGGTGCATTCATTGAAGAGTTCTACAAACCGCCAGAAAGCTATATCTGCGCCAGCAAGCTCGAACATGTCGGCAGCGCTTACGTCGACCATTTCAAGTATTTGGCAAATCTCGTCCCACCAGAGGAAGTGAAGAACTTGAAACTAACGCTCGCGGCTCCCAATTGGTACCATTTGCGCTATCGCGAAGGTCGTGCTTACCCAAAGAAGGTGTATCCGTCGGACAAGGAGTATTTTGAGGACATTGCTAGGGCATATCAAACAGAATTGCAGATCTTGTATGATGCTGGCTTGCGAAATGTGCAATTCGATGATCCCAATTTGGCCTGTGAGTGCATATTTCGGTTGATCATGGCGACAACCCTCTTGGTTTGTTAGGCTGATCTTTCAATTCCTCCCTCAAGATTTCTGCTCAGAGAAGATGATTGCTGGTTGGCAAGCAGATGCGCTGAACACATGCACCGTTGATGACCAGCTCAATGCCTATATCAAGCTCTACAATGACTGCATCAGCAAGCGCCCCCTGCTGATATGCACGTGGGCGTTCACTTGTGCAGAGGAAATTTCGCCAAGAGCCGACACTTTTCCGAAGGCGGTTACGACAGAATACCCACGAAGCTGTTCCGGACTCTCAATGTCGACACTTATTATCTCGAGTTCGATACACCTCGTGCTGGTGGGTTTGAGCCATTGAAAGAGCTACCAAAGTATAAGAATGTTATTATTGGTGTTGTCACTAGCAAGTTCCCAGAACTTGAGGATCCTGTAGAAATGAAGAAGAGAATTTATGCTGCCGCTGCTTTCGTCGCTGATGGGAGTGGGCAGACTGTGAAAGAGGCGTTGACCAGAATGGGTGTCAGTCCACAGTGTGGATTTGCTAGCCACAGCATTGGAAATGCTTTGGATCGGGGTGCAATGACCGCCAAATTGAAACTTGTGCGTGATTTAGCTAATGACATCTGGCCAGGAGAATCCTGATTTATTTTGAATCTGGGATATGTCACCTAGGGATCATATATTCTGAGCAGTGGCTAGACCTGTTATACTGAGTCAGCAGCGGTTAATTCGTTCCATATCATATATTGCTTTTGCTTGAATTCGATTGTCAAATTTTGAGCGGGTGAGATTGAGCTATACTGATAAGGGGAAAATACAACCAGACCTTGCGACGTCCTGCTAAGCAGCAACCAACAGATATGCAATGAATATAAGCCGACACACATATAGGACGCAACGGCAGGTGTAATATTGGGGCCCCTGTGGGACTCGATAACGTCCAAAGCCACCATCTTTCACATAATCTCCGATCCAACGAACCACCACATCATGATTGATCACTTCCAGCCAGATGAAAAAGAATTATGGCTAATTAGGTACGCCACAACTTAGCATGGAGGGTCTGGCTTGCTTCCAACATACATGAAGTTGGAAGCTTCGATGTTTCGAAAATGCGGTTTAGGTCTTCCGCCTACAAGGTCTTCAATTGCAGAGCCATATCTGATAAGGAGGTCCTCTCTCCATGCTGTCTGGATTAATGCAATCCCGAACGGCACACCTGCAAGACTCCCACATTAGACAAGGAGGATTGTATTTCGCAGACTGAATTTTCTAACTTACCAGTTATCTCACTGGTGCAGGTGGGAATAGCGATCATGGGATATCCTAGAAAGTGTGGTTAAAGGAAGTTTAATTGCGGTTGGTTCTTATGATTCAAGAGGCAAAGGCCACATAGTTCCGTACCTGCTTTCGCAGCTACTTGACATGCGGCTCCACTGTCGCCTTGGAGGGGAACTAATATTCCGTCCAACACGGAGCCGTCTGGCATTCGCAAAGCTGCATCGATTCCCTCTTCACGAGACTTTCTCCGAATATACTTCAGTGCATTGTAATATGTGTCATCTAGAATGCCCTTTGAAGTTAGGCTTCTCTCAAAGTTATCCTGACCACTGGGCCAGGCTGGATGAACACACGGTCGACCACCATCTGTTTCTGAATTCTTAACATTCCAGGCCATAATATCTTCTAGACTTTGAATGCCATTGGGGTTAGTACTCAAATTGGAAAGATATGATCGTATCTCGTTAAAGAATTCCTTCTTTACGACTGTGAACTCGGACTGGTCGGGGCGACCGAATTTGGAGGGAAAATCCCTTTGGCGATTTGTTAATATTGGGCTTCATCACGGAAATTGTGGTAGAAAATATAACCAACCAATCCCAACCCGATGGAGAAATTATTTCCTCAGCGCTTGGAAAGTTCGTCCATCGAATTACTTCAGCACCTGCATCTTCAATTTCTTTTAGTAATGCCATCAATCCATTGTACTTCTCTGTCTTCTTATATGCGCTCTCCCAAACCCGGTTCCAAGGAAGCCCAAATCTGGCTGTCTTCAGAGCCGCTTTGTTGGTAACGAATGATGCATAAGAAGACATGCCATGCGCTAGTCACACGCGGCAGTTAGATATCATCAAGGTTCACTTATGGCTAGATGGGGAATTTTCACCGGATTTAGAATCACCGGTAATCGCATCCAACGCAATTGCAGCGTCGAGAACCGTCTTTCCAAACGACCCTACCGTGTCAAGGCTGCTTGACTCTGGGATAACGCCTTTGGTGGAAGTTAAACCCACGGTGGGTTTAATGCCGACTACAGCATTTCGATCTGCTGGAAACATAATCTGAGAGCAAAGGGGTTCTAAGCAAAAGTTCAAGCTATATTTTCACTTATTTCCCCACATATTGAGTCCACTTACGCTTCCGTCAGTTTCAGTTCCTAGGCTGAATGGACACATATTTGTGGCAACAGCCACCGCGCTACCGCAACTTGATCCTCCTGGATGTTCAGCAAGGTTATAGGGGTTTCTGCACTGGCCCCCTCTAGACGAGTATCCCTCTGAGCTTCTAATCGTTAATATGTGGGTGAGGTCGGATTGCGAGGGTGGCAAACGCACTAGTAGCTTGAGCGCATGGCTGCCCATTCCGATAAATTAGTATGCCCAAGTAATATGGCACCTGCATCGCGTAGCAAAGAAACCACATGTGCATCATCCGGTACAGTTGTACCGACAAGCACTGCTGCCCGTTAGAAGTCGTTCGCGGTTAAGTGTCCAGGAGCGGACATACTCGTAGAACCAGCAGTAGTTGCCACTCCGTCTTTCGTCGCAATATTCTATATGATGGTGAGAATTCCCTGTTAAGTAGCTAGGTAGACGCAAACAATTTTGCGGGAAATTGAATTCTGAAAGATGGAAGAGGCATGTTACGTCTTTGACTAGAAAAGGAATTCCGTGAAGTGGGCCTCGGAGTTTTCCATTCTCTCGTTCCTTATCTAAGCATTCCGCAATGGCCAAAGCATCTGCATTCGTTTGGATAACGGCCCTAATGTTATATTTGTGTTACAAGATTGCCATTGTCCAACATAGAGCACGAAACCTTCAATATGCTGCATATTTAGAATATTCGACCTACTTCAGAAGGCAATTTAATATTTGAATTCTCTCGAAATACGTCTCCACCAGATCTCGTGAGAAGAACTTGCGTTCTGTTAAACATTTCTGCAGTTGCGGAATCGTAAGAACTTGAATATCAATTCCGCGACAAGTTGGCATGTGGAGGTCCGCAGCGGACATGGGATCAATATCACTGCTGGTTTGGTCAATGGAAGCTGATGGGTTGCTCATCGCAATGGCCATGATTGAAAGCAGCTTATTCCCATTAGCCACCTCCTTGAGAATAGGCGAGATGAAATTGTTGGTGTCCAGCAGTCCTTCCAAAAGTCGGAGGAATTTACATACATTGTTAACCTTGGAGGCGTCATGAGGTTTGAAGCATGTCGTCTAAAACTCTGGAATCTGTGGTGAATTAAACACGTGACTTAATCCCAGAATGTTTAAATCATCATAATGCCCCCTTTTCTCTTTCCTGTTTAGTACTAGAGTCATCTCGTTGCCCCTGAAGTCACGTGAGATTCACCGCATTTTCGAATCTACAATGGAACAGACCAGCACAATACCTAATTAATACCGACCCTCTGCAGGCGACGACGTTCCCTGCCTGTTCAACAGAAATATATAATCGATTTTCTCAGGTAAGCGGAGTTCTGTCTCTCAATTCCGGCTTCCTTTCCGGCAATTCCTGTCAGCTGAACCTGGATATTAACTGGCGTTTCAGCTTGGTTTTCCTGTGGTCTCTACATCACTTTCGCTTTTCATATCAAACAGGTCCATAAGCTCATCATTTATTTTACGGCCTCAAAAACCTCGGCATATATATATCAGCTATCAAATTTGCCGTGTTGGCTCCCTACCGCGTTACTACGCTCCTTGGAAATCCTCCGTAATATTCCTCCTGAACCGTCACACGAACTTCTCTCGTCCCAAACGACGCCAGGCCAACAATATTAACAATGGGCGGTCAAGTTTCCAAGATTATGGGGAAGATCTTTGGATCGAAGGAGATGCGTCTGCTTATGCTGGGCCTGGATGCTGCAGGAAAGACAAGTGTGTGAATCTTTTTTCCAATTTGTGGACATCACTATCTTCTCCGTCCCAAAAGCTAAATTGCAATGTTTCCCACAGCAATCCTCTACAAATTGAAACTCAACCAAGACGTAACCACTATTCCAACTGTCGGTTTTAACGTCGAATCCGTAACGTATAAGAATGTCAAGTTCAATGTTTGGGATGTTGGTGGACAAGATAAGATCCGTCCTCTTTGGCGGCATTACTTCTCTGGTACATGGCTTTTACCATTAAGGCAGGGGATTTCTCTCGATTGACTTTGGGATTGCGGTTTTCTAGGTACCCAAGGTCTTATTTTTGTTATTGACTCGAACGATCGGAGCCGAATTGAAGAAGCACGCCAGGAGCTCCACCGAATCATTCTAGATCGTGAGATGAGAGACGCTCTGTTACTAGTATTCGCAAATAAGCAAGATATTCCTGGAGGTAGGTGTTTTTCCGCTTTAAAACGCATTCAGCTACAAGTTGTTTTCCCTTGCTAACTGGATTTTCACAGCCATGACGCCCCAAGAAGTGACGGACAAGCTTGAACTGACTCAACTCAAGGACAAAATATGGTATGTTGTCCCTAGTTGCGCCACTACAGGTGAAGGATTGTTCGAGGGCTTGGTATGTTTTATTCCATCTGTCATGACGTTGCATGAACCACGTACTGACATTGATATGTAGGGTTGGCTCTCCAGCAACGTCAAGGCTCAACCACCAAGGCAGACCAAATAAAATGCACCTCTGATTCTCTCCACATTGTTCATACCAACCTCACCGAGTGCCTGCCCTTGTGTACCAAACTATTGTACATGTAAATCCTATTTTAATTCTCTGCGTTTCTTTGTCCTTGTCGGGCTTCAGCTCTGACACTGTTTGCACTAACCTTTTCTACGTTCCTTTGTCATGAGTCAACGCAGCATCGACCATCTTTTCCTGTTTTTCCTTTTGTTTTCCTTTGCGATCTTCACCGCATGTTATATTACTATTTGCATATTTTGTTCTGCTTTGCTCTCTCCGGATTCCTTTCTTATGATATCCCTTACGTTTATTCTAATTACTTACTATGGGCCACCGGTACAATTCTTTCCCCCTAATACAGTGTTTTGTAATACTCATTTTGTGATTGATACTCAGACGAGGCTAAAAGCGAATGGAAAATTTTCTAATTAGTAATGTGCATATCTCACTTACAAAGCTACTCTACACCAATCTAATATCAAAAAGTTCGTTTATTAGGCTACCAAGAAAACAACACTGTTTAGCTTCTGCTTGATATACTACCTAAGTCCAATTCCCTTGAACAGAGGATAGAACAGAGGAAATGAGTAATGGTATCATGAAAATAAAAACCCTTAACCATCCAACGCCAAACAGTCCAGGAAATAGCCGGCCCTAAAGATACAATACACACACCAGTATAATCACTTCCCAATATTCCTATACCTCTCCCTTGCCAAACCTCCTTCCCCACCTTCAACACCATAGCCCTCCCCAATCTCCCCTACAATCCTAGCTGGCCTGCCTCCAACAACGCACCAACTAGGTACAACCATCCCCGGAGGCACCACAGCACCATCTAGCACAACAACAAAGTCCTTCAAAATAGCCATCGACCCAATCACCGCCTCTTTGCCGATATGAACGTGGTTGCCCACAGTGGCTGCTTCCACCACCGCCTTCTCCCCTACAAACACATGGTCGCCCATTTTCAACGGAAAAAACGAATGAACACCACGGTGCAGACGTGAGGGCGGACGCAGCAGGCAGGAACGGGAGAGGTAGGTGTATCGGCCTATCGAAACGGCCACTGCGGGACTCGCTGGTGTTGGGTTGGAGGATGAGGAGGAATTGGATGTTGGATGGTCGGACTGGTGACGGAAGAGATCACCGCGGATGCACACGTCGGCTTGGATAACGGTTTTGCCGCCCAAGATAATGTGCTGGGTTCCGTGTACTTGAGAGCGACGGGAGACTTTGTTTCCTGTGTCCTAAGGAGAGGGTTATGCGAGAGGTAGGAGATTGGAAAAGAGGAGAGGAGGGGAAAGTAATATTTACTGTTTCTATATATTCTCCCTTGGTGGACTTGGGAGGCATGTTGGCGACTCCTTTTTGGTAGTATTTCGAATAAAAGAGGGCCGGGAATTGGAGGAGTTCAATCGATCTGTATATATGTATATAGTTATCCGCCGCAAATTTTGCCGTGTTTTGATATCAAAAGGCGGTAAGAGCAAGTCTACGTAAGAAGCCCTGCCCTGACCAGGCTGGATTTGGTCTCCGCATTGTGACGTTTCCTGAATCCAAATCCCCACAGCTCCAGGAACGTGAACCGATATATTGAAGATTAACCATATTACAATAAATAGAAATCCCGGAGAATGGGAGTCTAGCCCGTTGTGCTGGGTGGTCTTCGCTGTGCTATTTACTCCGTTAGTTAACTACCCCTGCTACGAAATGTATGTTTTTGGAGATCTCTATCCCGATTTCTATTCCGATCATTCCCAAATCCTACTCGTCCGCAAAGAACCAGAAGAAGTTAATATCACCGGACTATGTTTCCTTCCATGTGTTTTGTTCCCTTTTTTGCTACAATTGCCTGTGTTGACTACCTATGTATAATGAGTTCCTGATATCCTTGTGATTACTTGTTTTCCGGGGCCCTAGTCGGGCAATTTGAATCAGCTATTGATGGGAATTTGGCTAGATTAGACTCCCATAAACTATATTTGTGAGATTGATTATTGAATAGATATTAAACAATGGTTATATGAAACGCACACCTGCAAAATCCGTACATTGGGTTTTCTTGATACTAAAAGGAGATATCCAGAGCAAGGTCATAAATACGACCACACAAAAGATAGTTATGCAACCAAAATCAGATAAGCCCCTAGACAAAAATAAGAGCATTTCTTATATTGATTCAGGGAGCACACCATCATAGTGAACTTTCAAAGCTGCAAACACAAAAGGTGAATTCATTAGTCTTAAGTTCGGTTTAAATATAAAAGGGCTGGAAAACCAAGATTTAACAGCGAAGAAATATGTGAAGAACTCACTCATTGGGAGGACAGAGTAACTACCATAGTCTTCTCTCATATAGGCGAAATGTCCATTGGGACGAGTAACTTTGACCAATCGGCCCTGGGGGCCTGGAGCAGCGCGCAGATTATCTAGACGCCCAACAACACGCAGCATGGAAGTTAGTGCTACCATATGTGCACCTCTCCCAAAGCAGGTAAATGCACTATCGGTAAAATGGATGTAGGATTCTAGAGGCCGATCGAGAACCACGTCGTCGGGAGAGGGGAATATATTTGGATCTCTGGAAGAGGAGATCTAAGGCGATACAGTTAGTGTAGGTTAGGTAGTGATTGGAGGAGCTCGGAATAGAAGAGACAAGGTCTATGAAATAAGAGGCATGTTTACCATGCTCACGAAAACCTTGTCTCCATCGTTGACGACAACGTCACGACCAGTATCATTTATCAAAACGTTTGTATTTGCCTCGCGGTATGATTTGAATGTTCCGTTAAGTCGGATCCCCTCCATACAGTAATGGAGAAGTTTCGCATCGGATTCCGGGGAGTCTTCATGTGCAAGACGGTTGATCTCTGGAAGATGTGTTTTGCCCTCATCCGACAAATAAAAATCTATGATTTGAGTGAACTTTTAAGAAAATTAGATGTTTTTTGGGCGAGATAATTAAATGTACCACAGAATATATACGGGTAACTTACAACTTGAGCTTGACTCGGAACCGCAGTGCATATTATGGGAAGGAGTTGTGACCAAGCCACCTCTGAGACGCTAAGTCCGCACTTCAAGAGTTTGCGGGTCGCATCAAGCCCATACTTGGCCAATGGGTTGTCATGTTTTTGGAAACGATCAAAAATACCTGACAGATATGTGAATCCCTTGGCAGATTTGACGTACGATTCTACAACTTTTCCAAGCTCTTCTCCTGCTTCTCGCGTCACCTGTCTTAGGGCAAACGATTTTGTGGGATCCACGTCGAAGAATACGCTGGTGAAAATAGCCACGATCACCATGAACATTTCACGGTCCGTGAATAAACCCTTGGGATTCTCCTTGGTTTTGAGGGGAAGGTCAAAGGTGCTCGCCGCGAAATAGACGTGCGCGAGATTACCAACACTGGAAATTCGTTAGCAACTCAAGATTCCTTTCAGGGATAAGATTGGGAGAGCTTACTCCCGCGTGATATCGATCTGGTTAATTCCAGCAACTCGAACTGAATTTTGCCTCAGAAGATTGAGGGTAATATCCTCGTAGAACTTTTTCACGTTCTGACGCCATGAATCTTGCCTAAAAGTTTCGTCTAATATTTCGGACTGGGATACATTGAAACTCTGGCTCCCGAAGAGAGAAGTAGCCGCGTCCCCAAAGGTAAACCGAAAATCCCTCACATTTTCTAGAATTGTCTTTGTCCCATTATACGAGGTGAGATCAATGCGAGGTGGGATTAGCGCTGGGCGATCCCAAGAAAAGTGACTTTCCCTCCCGAGCTTCGTGAAAATCTCTCTGTTAACACTCGGTATTGTCATAGGATAGTGTGCGTAGATAGAGTCGGGCTTGATATAATTGGGGAGAGCGCGCAGCATCAACTTGTAGAACATGCAACCTTGGTTGACGCTAAGGTCATAGTGAGACTCAGCATATCCCCAGTTCGTCAAATTTTTAGCATTGTAGTCCGTCTATCACAAAATAGGTCAGCCACCGTCTCCAATAATCACGCGCATAAGAATTTCAGCTACAAAAGTGACGAAGTGGGATGACATACGGTGTAGAATCGGTCCCCACGGACGAGTGCTACCGCATCCGAGAGAACAGCTCTGGATATTGTATAGGTTGGACATATTCCAGCACCAGGAACCATGGGGATCTTCGCCTCTTCCGAGACAATGCCTGGGTAAAGCTCCACATAGTCAGGATGCTCATACAAACTCCGAAGTTGGTGAGCGATAATAGGGTCGGAGTTAATTTCCTCAAATGTCTCGTACTCCTTCAAGCCAAAAAATTTCCGGAACTCATTCAGGGAGCCACAGCCGAATTTCCTAGCCTGATGAATTCCCAGAATTTCGACCGCTCGAAGGGCCTTAGGGACATTTCGAGGACCGAATGTTCCTAATTCATCGTTAGATAAGGATTTGAAAGGATTCTGTCAACATTCTCACCCGCGACTTCTTCAGTTGCCTCTGTAATAATTCTAACTAGATCTTCGTCCTTAAATCGCCCATCTGCTTGTCGTTCCAACTTTGCAAATGTTCTCTGAGCAGGGTCTTTGGGAAGGTTCCTTTTCCATTTTCCCATTCCGGCCATCAGTTCTTCCATTGAGATTTCTTCAGCGGTTTTACCAAAAAGGTCTAGATAGATTTCCTCAATCCATTTCTCATCTATTTCACCGATGGTTGAATGCCATCTGTAAGCAAGATTAAACTCGAAAGACACCTGGTTTCCAACACCACTTTCGGCTGCTTCTGGCTTGGCACCTTTCTTCATGTTAACTCGTGGGTCCTAAGAAAGTTAGCACGTATATCTTTTGATGCGGAAAAGAGAAGACATACCAAACTCCAGTTAGTATTGGTGCGTGTGAGGTTGATGATGGTTCGCACATAATCATATAGCGTGATATTTATATAAAGGCCACAAGTTATACTATTCTCCTATCAGAATTGTTAATGCAGGGGCAAAATTGCAAATACACATACAGTCTGCCGGTCTGGAACAAATCATTGTCATATTTAGCCCATGCATTTCTCGACTCTTCAGATGCAAGGTCATCACGGGGTTTGGTAAATCGACCATTCTCGTTGATATGGGCCAGTTGCTCAACGACATAGTTATGGAACCTAAATGAATCAGTATGCCATTGTCGTTAAAAGGAAACATATGAATCAAGCCAAAGATACACAAACTTAAGGGACCATGAAATGACATATCAAAATGGCTCACCGATTTAGCAATACGAGAATAACACTGCAACCAGGTGGAAGGGCGATTAGCCTTGGGTCCGCAAAGGTATCAGGCTTGAGTTTTCCATCTCTGAAGGTACGCATGTCGTCCTGCTGTTGCTGATTATCTCCATAGAGTGTGGAAAGGTCAAGGTATGAAGACGTCAGAGAGATGTGTTGATTCCTTGGATCTGTCTCGAAGAGATCTGCGGACGAGGTCAGCATATCTCCTAAAGAAGGTACCACAAGACCATTTTACCGTGGATTATTAAAGATGCCCAGTTGAAAAACATGCTGGAGACACCATTTGGATGTGGTTTGAATTCCTGGCGCGCGAAAAGACTGTCAAAGACCAGACCTGGGTCTGGTAGCGCAGCAGGTTGAATAGTTGAAGGTTTGATGGATCGCGCGTAAGCTGTATTGGCGGCCCCGAGACGAGGAAACAAAGGATTATTGTTGGACCCGTCTGCGGCTCGGTAGCGATATTCGTCACCGAGATACCTAAACCAATAACGTTAAGAAGGCACTAATTTGTGACGATACAGAAATTACCCTTACGATAGTGGTGGATGGGGTAGGGAAATCCACAGCGACTTGACGAAGCTATTGGTGAGCTTTACACGGGCTGTTGATTCGGGAGGCAGACTGGCCACGAGCTTTCCGGAGACAGGTTAGATATACCCTTTCACATGGTTGTTGGATTCACCATACTTGAATAATTCGTTCCATGAGATATTCCTTATCATCCGTGAGTGTGCCAGAGGTCTTGCTTTTTACCACAGCCAGCAAGGTGCGGATGCCTTTCAAGCCCATCCATTTCACTTCCTTGAAAATGCCATTAGATACAGCTTTCTTCGCTTGGGTAAAGTCACCGCTGAATTCAGCATATTTGGCGAAAGTTCTCTCGACTTCCTGACGTTTGATGCAACGTCCATTGCTGCGTTTCGCCCATGGCGGGGAAGACGTTTTTGGTTTGCCGTTCATTTGGCCATTCCTTTTGTCATGGGAGGAAGCCCCAACAGCCTCTGAGCCTGATGCCATTTGTGTTGAAAACAATAATAGGCTGTGACGGGAAGGAATATTAAACGAGAGACGTAACTGTTTAACGGAACATTACTCTAGAAGGGTGGAAACATGAAGTTTCGAGAATGAATAATCGAGGCTCCATCAATGCAGTGCGCAAAGCTCGAAGAAAGGTCAACGCGAGCTCTGCGTTTTTGGGGCTCGTTGGAGGGGACAATAAACCAATTCCCCGATTTGCAGCATGCAACTGACTAGTTATCTGGGGGACGGACCCCTCGTAATCCGTATTGACGGTTGGGTTTGTCAAGGTCCAGCGGTGCCCGATTTTGGGCAAACAATGACCGATTGGGTGAATGCACGCCATAATTCGAACTTAAACACCTGGCCAGTGATGATCTGCGTCGTGAAAACGTTAAAAGTTGTATCCAGTGCCAGAAATTGATTGACCCATCCATGGGCACTTGAGAAAGGTGCAGAATTGCATCTCACGAAAAGTGGTTCAGTTGTTCGTTGGCAGTTGGACAACGCCAGCCGCCACTATCGATATAAACAGCCAATAATAGCTCGATGCACGAACCAAATGTTCAACGAAATTAGGTTGATGATCCTAGTGAATTGTCAAGCACCCCGAAGGTTCAAAGCTCGAAATGAGTGCTGACAGTGCGAGGGGACTACTGCTCAATACTCATCCTTCGGAGGGTTCAGGTGCAACGACAATCTCCAGGTCGGAGAATTGATCATAAACTGGCTACTTGCTAGCAACCCGAGATCACCTCAAGAAATTCACAGTGATATGTCAGGGTATCAACCCTGTCACACAGGTGCTGGACTCAAATAGAATGGTCACAGCAGTTATCCATCGGTATCCCATTACTGTGACTTGCGTGGTTCCAAAGTTGTTGGGATGAGGCTTGCGGCAGATAAAGATGGAACTGACATGATTGTCATGCACAGGTTCGGATACCAGTTGGCGGGCGCTGCTGCAGCCAACTCCGCAGTCTAAGTCAATTTGAGCTATTAGCCTACAACCGGTGCCATCAATCAGCTAATAGCAGACAAGCCCATCGTCTCCACCACTTCCCAGAGAGGCTGATAGAAAGCGTGGCTGCGTGGCTGCGAGGCTAGCCCGACGACAAACATTCTTCAAGGCAGCTTCTTGCTAACTTCTAACCATCTCTCGAAACCATTGACTGATCTATGATCATGATCGCAGATCTACTAAACCGGTGAGACGACGCCAGGGAATTCAAGGACATCAATCGGCATACTACGTTCGAACCGGTCGAAATGCTAGATAGAATGGTTTGAGTACCTGTGTCCTGTCCCTGGACAGTAACTATTACAGTCTTGCTCCGAAAGGCTAGTTTCAGCAAGCCATGATTTATCGAGATTCGGTCTCCGGGTGGAGGTGTCCACTGCCGGGCCTCCCATTGTGATGTGGCGGATGTCGTGCATTTTCGATGCTTCACAGGTTGAAACTTCTTGCAACTATCTAGAGCACTGGTGCATTCAAGAAAATAGTATGTGACACTGCCGCACTCAGCTATTGCTGGTATTAATAACTACAGGAATAGTTTCCGCTTATTATCATTATTGCCGCAAAGCACATAGCTGGCTTGCTAAACCGTTCTAGCAAAGGCCTGAGACTAAGAGTCCCAGATCAGGTACGTATTTATAAAATATTCAGCTGCGGCTGCATCTAGAAGTCTCTCATTCGCTGAAATACCAGGTGTCCAGGTTGTGTGCGCCCTATCTGACGATCCCTCAACTCGGCCCCGGATGTGCGGGGGTGCGCTGCTGACTCTGGGGCCATGGGTGGTAATGCTATTTAGACCAAATGGCGTCCGGCGCGGAGAAGAACGCTCTCCAATCCTCGCAGTTCACCACCAGTAAGAGTACTTTAAAAGCACAGTTTCGTTTGCTCCCACGAGAATAGTGTCACGGGCCTCGTCTGTGGCTTACAGTTCACACGAGGCGCTCCCAGCGCCAACCAGAACATCCTTTGAGTCTTGAGTCTTGAGTCTTGACTCTATCTATGATTGCTGCTTGAACCAGTTTCCTCGCAGAACCGAGATTTGTTTTTGGACGCCTGATCTAAATTGCCGGTCCTCCTTCTCATCGTCATCACTTAAGCTCGTCACCGGCAAATCTAGAATATTGTTTTTCTTTTTCTCAGGGCTCGCTCTTCCCTGGTCATTTTACACATTTATAGTTTTCTTCAAGATTCGTTGTTCGTGTGAAATTGTCGCCATGTCACAATACGTGACAGATCTTCCGAAAACCTTTGTCCTTTGCTTCGATGGCACTGGAAACAAATTTTCTGGTGATGAATCTGACAGCAATGTTCTCAAAATTTTTCGCGTGAGTGACCATTCTCAGACCCTCAAGATAAACATACTCTTGTTCTGACCAAACCACAGACACTGGATAGAAACCAAGGACAACAATTCCACTATTATCAGCCTGGGATTGGTACTTATATAACATCAACAAAGGTGCCAAATCATACGGGTCCATTTTCGCGCATTAAGCGCAGCTGGATAAAAGCAAAAGACGTAGCCATCGGCTTCTCCTTCGATCACCATGTACTGGCTGGATACCAGTTTCTCATGCGATACTACTCCCCCGGCGATGAAATTTACTTTTTCGGATTTAGCCGTGGGGCGTATATTGCTCGCTTTCTTGCCGAGATGCTCGACTATATTGGCCTCCTAACTATTGGAAATGAAGAGCTTGTCCAATTTGCCTGGAAGACCTTTTCAGAATGGCAACGACGGACTGGGAATAGCGCCGAAGACATACAGAAAAGAAGAGATCTTTTCAAATTTATGAAAGCCTTCAGAGAGACATTTAGCCGTCCTATCCAGCGAATACGGTTTTTAGGGCTATTTGATACCGTGAATAGTGTTCCGAAGTTCGAGTCTCCGTGGATGTCTCGAAATAGATTTCCCTATACTGCTAGGAGCTCAGCCAAGGTTATCAGGCATGCGGTGGGTATTGATGAAAGGCGTGCCAAATTCCGCCAAGATTTAATCTCTCAAGATCGCCCGTTCAGGAGGGCAAAGGCTATACACCGTCGATTCTCCTTTATCCCACATAGCAGGGTACACGATGACAGAGCACAGGCTGCGGTTGCAGAAACGATTGCTGAAGAAACTAAATCACAAGAAGAAAATAATGGCACCAAAATTTCGGACGAGATTAATGGTGAATCGCCAAGTCGTTCTCCAGCTGGAGGCTGGACCCAACCTCTTGAAGAAAACCGTTACCGTCCATGCCAGCCTCGTCGCTCACCCCCGAATCTTAGACTGTTGGTCCCGGACAACCGTAATGTTTCGGTCGAAGGAAGCTCCCTGGACAGCATCCCTCATATTCCAATACAAGTTCCGCAGGCAACCGATAACAGGTCTGTTGCATCAGATCAGACTGTTCAGGATATCCAGGAGGTCTGGTTTCCTGGCTGCCATGCCGATATCGGTGGAGGCTGGGCACTTCTACCCGGGGAGAAGTGGCCACTTAGCCATGCGCCGCTTGTATGGATGATCCATGAAGCGCAACGCGCTGGTTTACAATTTGACGAGCGCAAACTCAAAAAATTCGAATGCGCCGTAGAATATGAAGGCGATTATTCACCAATTGACAAATCGTGGAATTTTGATCAGGGACAATGGCCAGATCAGCCAGACATTGTAATCGACAGAGTAGATAGTGAGGGATTCCAAGAGACACCCAAAGATAGCCCTTTAAAATCTGCATCATCTATAAGCTTCTACGAGGCGCTCCAATACTCCGGGACCCAAGGCCGCATTCATGACAGTTTGGCATTTAACTCTGGCCTGCCAGCCACGTCAGTCATCGCGTGGAGAATAATGGAGTACCTCCCCTTTAAGAGGATGGATCTGCAGGAGGACGGCTCATGGGCACCCATCCGCTGGCCTCTTCCGCGTGGTGAAGTCCGCGACATTCCTTTGAATGCAAAAATCCATACCAGCGCCATACAGCGGTTAAGAGCAAATAAAACCTATCGTCCCGGTAATTTGATCATTGGTGGTGGCGGTCGTGGAGTTAAAAAAGCTCCAGAGTTCTTGGGCATAGGGGACTGGGTTGTTTCTAGCAACGAAGGTGACCCAGTGAGGGAAACTTTTGTGAGGGTGAATATATCGAAAAACGAGTGCCAAAGGAACGGGACGCACAAGAAATGGGCGCAGAAAAATGAAATACAGAAAGATGGAACTCAGAAAAATGGGACTTAAAAAAATGGGATCCGACAGGACGGAAATTAGTTTGAATTCCTTAACAATCCTTTTATGTGTGGAGTTTACATCTTTTTTTGCCTTATCCTGGGGTTTTGGGTCTACTTTGCATATATGATGGGTTATCACCGTTTGATGATATTGGGTTGACAGTCTCAGCACTCACTGGTTGCTTCTCGGGAGATGGAGGGTGATAGATACATAATTGCCTTATGGTACGCTTGGGGGAATGATTTGTCTACTTGTCTGGCATTGTTATTTATTTGATTTCCTCCCTATATACCCAACAGTTGACCTGCGATTCGTCCAGTGTGAACATAATCAATAGAATCTATTACTGTATTGCAACTCCAATGGGTTAACTCCCAAAGTTATTTGTTATAGGTCTTGATTTTCCGCTTCTGAATCTCTCAAACACAGCATAACCCCCGAACCCTCTTAGGCGAAATAAATGCTATAAAGCTAATCCAATACGATAAATGTACAAGTTAGCACCGCTACGGTTGAAAACATTGAGCATTAGCCCAAGCTCATATTGCAACTGCGCCATTGTATCTAGCTTTTATGAGGGATCCAAATGCAGCACCCCCTGGCCCTCCCGAGAGATTTCTGTTGAAGAGTTTCAATAATCCTCCCGCGAATGCTCAACATTCAAACTTTCTGAAGTCGCCATCCGTTGAAGAAGAAATATATTTTGGCACTTTAAGGCTATTATTGAGGTTAGTTTTCGAAGCTTGACTTAGATGGACAATCGCAAAAGGTGAAGAGAATGAAGTATGAGAAATTTCCCCAAATTCAAGACTCATCAGCCGATGACTTCTCTATACCAGGATAAAATCCGCATGCTATGTGACAAAGACACAAAATATTCTTTAAAATCTTCAGTCGGTTTCAAAACAACTTCCATTCAATGATCCTACTCATCGGCACTTCCGAAGCGCGAATCCAACTTCACCGCACCAAAACGATGGTTCATATTTCCTGGGAAATTCAATCTTTGGATGGCCACAGGATGTGCTTCTCGACACGTGCATTCGGTAATAGATAATAAAAAGTTCGATGCCGCAACAACCGTCGTATAACCTAAATTAATCGGTTGCCGTTGTCTGGATTTTTGGAGTGTTGGGTGCAGCAACAGCTCCTTGCAGGTTAGATCAGGGAATTTTTACAGCAGCATCCAGCCAACTTCCAGGTCGACGATGCGATGTTTGCCAGTGGTTCATGGATTTCGATTGCCTATGTCGAAACGCTGGAACCATCTTCAGCTTTGGCTTGGTTTACCTGAATCGGCAAATAATAGAAATGCCATAGCCGCATTTGCTCAGCCCTCGGAACATATAAACATGGGCCGTACTCCGTATGTATTGCTGCCGATTGAGAATTAATACCCTGTGGCGGCCCAAAAATGCGACTAGAATATCTTTGGAGGGTTGCACGAACTGTGACGCCGTATTTCGCTTCCGATAGTTATGTGATAATGACACGAACCCTGCCCTGTAGACGGCTTCCGCATCGATAGCTGAAGTGCGAGAGAAGTTGTTCTCTCAGCGACCTTTAAGGCCACAATGACTATGAAGAGTAATTCAATGCCATGAGTAGAGGGTGATTCTGAGGACAACGTTAAATTGACGCCGAAATGTGCTGCTGGTCCAATAGACTCGGCAATCGTCCATCTGATTGGGATTGATTTAACGATTTTCTAAATAACGATGTGGAATACCGAGTATTGCACGACCTTCAATTGTTGATTGTGTCCGCGATGTCGAAAACGATGGCGTAAAACGCAGTCACAAAATAAAGAAAATAAAAGGCAAAAGCTCCAACCCTGATTCGAACAAGGGACATTGCGATACTGGTGCAAACCACTGCAATCGCACGCTCTAACCGCTGAGCTACTGGAGCTCGAGTAGTGTTTCTGATTAGGGTTCATCATATTTGCGGGTATGTGGGGAAGGGAAAAAACCGTTATTAATCGATTCCTTCAACTCGGGTTTGCGGCATCCAACGCGGATTGGGATAACTCTCCCTGAAGCGTCAAGGGGGAAGGAGAAGGAGGGTGATATGTTTGGATTTGTTATTTGTTCTGTTCTTTCATTGATTGATTTTTTTGATTTGCTTTTTTTTCTTCATTTGTTGAATACTGTGATGGACTGCCGTCAACGCCACTGCTGTTGATCTGGGTGATGCGATATGATGCAACTGTTGGTTTGGCCCAGTTTTCCTCCTCCCCAACCAACCCTTTTGCCAACAATCTGAGATTGAGATGGGCAGTGCCAATGCTTTTATTGCTTTTTTATGGCCGTATATAAAATCTCATCTGATTCTATTCTTTCTTTCGTCTTCATGCTTTGTTCATTCTTGGTCACCTCATCAATACTTTCCTCACTTTCTTGTTCTTCCCTCTGTGTTAACTTTTATGGCTTCTATATCCTTTCCGCTCCTCTTAAACCTGCTATATTTTCATTTCCTTTTGATCCCTTTCAGCCACCGTGTTAATCACTCAACCCAAGGCTTCCAAGGCTGTCATTCAAAATACATTTATATTTAAGTTCTTGGATTTGTTATGTATATATTTTAATTATTATAGCAAAAACATGTGTGTTTTAAAACAGGAGTTGTCCAATAACGCTCTTTCAATTATTGCTCATCTAGGTCTGTGAATGGAACAGAATTGAGTCCATAATCCATCACCAACACCAACGCCGATGGGATAGGGGAACGAACCACAAACCAAAAAGAATACCAGTAAAAACCCTAGCATGTGAAAGCAGACCAGAAATACATAATACAATGCTAGCTATAGGCATTATCAACAATAATTACCAAAACCCTGCAATGGGAATCCAATTAACGCCTGCAGCTCAGTATATTTCCTAACAGACTGAACAGGCCAACCAACCACGATCCCTTCACAAATTCCCCCAGCCATAAATATACATACATACACACCTAGGAAACAATCAATATTCATAAAAAAGAAAATGACCAGAGAGCGCAGAAGCAGTCCAAGCAAGCCTGGTAACTCACATCGGTAACATGATTTGAACAGACAGTGAGGAAATCATCCGCAGCTGGGTTAGAAGTTTCTTGGAGACACTGGGAACTGAACCGTCCCATACCCCTGCTGCGGTTGAGCCCCATAGCCATGTGAATATCCGCCATCCGCAACACCGCTCTGACCATATCTGTATTTTGTGAACCCTGCGCTCACCCCACCGCCACCAACCGTTCCTACCCCGCTGGTATTACTACCGATAGCCCTAGTAAAACCACTAGCAGGCGGACCGCTAGAGGCGTAGGCACCTGAATTAGCTTGACCATCCATATTTGAACCATCGGGCCCCGCCACACTTCTTGATTTCATCCTCTGAAAAAATATCGCATACCGTGAGAGTGGTGGCTTCTCGTATTTGTCGTCCCCAGCTTCGGCTGCAGCATCTGCTGCTGGAACTGTACCGGGATCGGCTGAATATGGTGCTGAACTGCGTCGACGGGAACGCCAGAAGGATCGCTTACTATTGCGACTAAGACCCTCTGTGTAGTTGTTTCCGGGTGAAGGGCCAAACCACTTGCCAAGTTTGTGATGGCGGGCGTAGAGGATTTGGGGGTACAAGCCCAGGGCGAAAAGGAGGCTGTCGGGGTCGCAAATGAATTAGCAACTGGATGCGCTGAGATAGAAAACAAGTGAAACGGGAACTCACCATCCAATGATTGCCACAGAAAAAGCTCCCTTTTGTAACCTGCAGGCAAACCCCAAGTCTGGAAAGTGCGTCAGTTTGTCAATATTACCAGTCCCGGGCCCTGCGAGGCTCTTTGAGTCTCCGCTACCAAGAGGTGTATGGACAATGCCGGTACAGGAATCCACGCCATCTCGCGTCATGATTGCGATGGCAATGAAAGAAGCTATGAAACAGACATCAAGGAATAGCATCAACGCGGCGAAAAACGCTATCCCGCCAATACAAAGGGTAAATAATGACGCTAGCAACGTGTACAAGGCTGCAGCCCCGGAAAGGCCCTCGACAGCTTTGACCCATCGTGGAATGACCATGCCATGGTCGACGAGGACGGCGAGGAAATAGGAATATATTCCTAGGATGAGCGCTGCGGCGCAGAACTGAATGAGACGGAGAATGAAGTTGGAAATACGGATAAATACACCCGCGGCACTCATTGCGGGGAACTAGGTGACTGATCCAAGGTTATAAATTCAGCTACCCGAGCGCAAAAGGCAAGCTTATGATGGATCGCCCGGGCGAATTGCGGGGCCGGGCGATTATTTGTAGAATAAAAACCAAAAAGGGGTGGTAGATAAGATACAGAGAGAAGATGCAGTAGTTATTTCAGACACACCAGTCCAAACAATAGTTAAGGGGGGAAAACAAAGAATAAAAAGGGAGAAATATCCAGCAATTTGAGGGTGTTGGATTGTCGCAGCCAAAAAGCAAGCGCCGACAGGTAAATTTCAATGACGTCAGGAGCAATTCGGCGACTGGATGACGAAGCGGGCCTGACATCGAGAAACTCTAAATTCAGGCATGTCAAGCTGGAGCAATCTGCGGATCCCATGTGCAGTCTGGAATGAACATGCCCAATTGAATGAAAGAATATAACCTCACAAATGCCAGATCAGGTCAACTGAATAGCACTGTCCAATTTTCTGCGGTACGCAGGCAAATGCGTAGCTGTAGCTTGGAAAAGCGGACGTCTGTCATGGATTTAACTCCAGCGTACTTAACGTCAACTTACTACAACTCCGCATTGTTCCAGGTCCGGCAGACACAGTATAGAAAGAAGGTGAAAGAAATCAGCGTGGGGGGAGAGAGAATATATCGTCCAATAAGGCCTTGAACACAAACGGGTTTCATTTGATTGAAGTCATGTATATTTTTCGCTGGGTGTATATTGTACCAGCCAATTGACAGTGTTGAGACCCAAAATATCCGTGTTCATTGTACAAAATTCCTTGGCAAGCTGCTGTTGATAGTTCTTTGATCTACATATCATCGTCCCCACACGTTCCTTAGCGCCCCGTAGAAGGCTGCATCCAAGTGTATGGAGCATCATGACATCACAGTATGACTGTCACCGTTCCATGTTCGTATGATACCCCATCTCATTACCAGTAATTACCCAGTTTGCCGTGCATTTTAATGGCAGACCAGAAGATCCTTCTCCTCCTTCAAGGTCCGCACCCTCAGGGCAACTTTTCCATAATATCATCGAGAGCGCGGATAGCGTTAGAAGGGCGGCAACCTCAGCTGCGTGTAAAAGCGATGGAAATTGCATTGATACTGAATGTCACGGGAGAGACCGAAATAAGTTAAGCCACGGCGGATGTCATTGTCATCTCTCGCGGTTTTTTTGTTGTTCCTTGGCTTGTTCTTGATCCACGTATGCCCGGAGTATGGATTCCAAGCCCTCATTTCGCCTTGCCAGAAGCATCGCGTCGGATATATTAATGGTCGACCGTCCCGCATGTCTATTGCAAGTAGAATGGGATGAAAGCAAAAAGTTAGGTCAAATCGAGCCATATTGTTGCTCGTAAAACAACGCAAGGAGAAAGAGTGCAAGAGAAAAATTGGTAACAAATTAGCTCTTACTTGGCGAACGCTTCTAGGTCTTGTCCCACGGTCTCTAGAGATAATGTCAGCATTGATTCAAACGTTGACTGGAATGCCCATATGGAGAATGACGAGCAGGAAAATTCCAGCTAAAAGAACCAAGCCCAGTAGGCGGTTTATATACCTATTTGCGCCCAAACCATCTCTGTGAGAGCTCCTATGAACTGCGGAGTAGCATCAACACCAAGCTTGATAGTTTCATCATCGACAATTCTACCAATTGCAAGCCAAAGAGCAGACTTCAGGCGCTGTTGAGAGAATCACAATTAGCACTCCCTTGATGTTGACGAATGAGGTACAAACAAACAGCAAAGGCACACGAGCGTGACAAACCTCTTCTAGAGCTGCGGCGTTAGAATCTTGCTCAGGCATCGCGATGATGTACAGAGATGAGCAAAAATGCTGTCGTTGCTGACGGTAGGCGCATGAGCATCCAAGGAATGTCTTAAAATACGGCTGAAGACGATGCTGAGGATCGGCCTCTGATTGGTCCCACACGCGTCGGATTCTAAGAACACAAAAATCTGACTAAGCAAAGTTTGGAAGATGACGTAATGCAAACATTGAATCCCGATGCTTCAATGAATTTTCTCTTCTGCGGAGAATTCGCAGACGTCGCATAGCTCCATCCAGTGTACAGATAGCTCTTTTTGGGAGGATATAGAAGACCGAACAATTGGTCCTTGAACTATCCGTTATATGAACTCAAACAATTTCTCTCCCTTTCACCCGGTATATTCCAATTTGGAAAATCTCTCCTCCGAGTGGGCTGGCTCCGTAATCCACCAAAGACGAAGATAGAGCCAATTGCTCCTCTCCAAAAATTCAATGTCAAACCATTTACAGACTAAATGAAATTCATTTGTTGTTCAATGCAAAAACCATATCAACATGACGTCTCTCGACCCAACGTCCATCCTCTCCACCCTCCAAACTTGGTCCACAAACCTAAAAACCAACCTCTCTAACTCCGTCACCTCCCTGACACTCCGCGACTACATCCGCCTAATCTGGATAATAGGTGGCTATCTGTTTCTACGTCCGTATCTAGATTCTGGCTTCCGCAAACTCTTCACATCAAACATGGATAAATCCGACGCAGAGGAAAAGGCACAAGAGCAGGCGGAGCTAGAGGCCGCTGCTGTCGGAAGTGTTGGAGCCCGAGCAAAGCTGTCTGCAAATGCGTTGAGGGGCGCGCTGGGTGATGATAGTGAGAGCAATGAGGAGGAGGATGGGACGGGTGAAACGACGGGTGTGCCGCAGTGGGGGAGGAGTGCGCGGAGAAGGCAAAGGAGGGTGTTGAGAAAACTTGAAGAGGCGGCATTGAGGCATAAGGAGGAAGAAGATGACAAGGATATTGCGGATTTACTCGAGGGTTGATTGGTTGGTTTGGAATATAGGACCTCTCTTACTTTGGGAGGGATTGGGTAATCGTTGGAACAGGTATATATTCGCTTGAGTTTGTTGGATATACTGTCTGTGTATGTATACTACCTTTGGCTTAAATATATTGAGGCGGTGATGGATCTGTAATCGGTGTCGATATAGTGCCATTTTGTCATGGAATCTACCTAGGTAACGTCTTGCATTTGTTTATTTGGCTCGACAGCAGCTAAGAAATCAAACCCCTATATTATTTTGTTGACTTGCCATTTTCATTTTCCTGACCATTCAGATAAACTTCCCCCATTCCCTACATAATAGAAAGTCTACAAGAAAAGTTAGAAGCCTCGCCAAATGTTCCCTGCCATAAGGCGAGGTTAAATATGCATTGCATCCCACTCAGTAATTGTTCTGGTCTTTAATCCTGAGAAAATATATCAATCATGAAAATCAAAATCACATCTAATGCATTCTCCTTAACTCCTCCACAATCCGCTTAGTTTTCTCAACCGTAACACCCGCAACACCACCTGCCACAACCAAACCCACAATCTCCTCTTGTAATGCCGCCTCACAGGTCCAAAACCGCTCGATAAGTTCCCCATCGACAAAACGATACGGCTCCTCAGCTTGACGCACCGCGTTCTTGAACGCGCGGAACTTGTTAAATGGCATGGCACCAGGGGTCACCACCAGTCCAGCCATAGCGGATTGCAGGCGCATGAGAAGGTCTTGGTATGCAGGGTTAATGAGACCAAAGAGGTAGATGGAACCTTCGACCTATGATTTTTGTTAAAAGATTAAAAATAAGAAAAGCTATAAAGTGGGGGGAGATTAGAGAAAGGAGAAAGTAAAATAAAAAGGACAAAACATACCGTTCCCAAAAAAGCCTTTGGCGAAATAACTGCCTCTCTAGGTCCCGTCGCAGGCAACGACCCTTGGATGCTAACAGGCCTGATCCGATTGACCATCTCCCCAAGCAAAATCTCACTCGTAACTTCCAACCGCCTCTTATCATCATCTGTCACGCCATTGACATTTTGATTGAGAACTACAAGGTTCCCCTCCGCATCGCTCTCTAGGAACATATTTTCCGCAATAGGTGCCACAGCAGTGCTCCAAAGAGTCTGGAAATGGCGAGCTACCTCAGTGAGACTGTCTGGCTGGTCGTTCTCTCCTTGTTTGAATTCGATGATGGAGACGCTTTTCATGAGATCAGCTACCGCGATGAGGTTTCCTGTTACTGCAATGTCAATGGGGGCGGTAGAAGTGCGGTAGCTGGCGGTTTTATTAAGGGTATAGTCGGAGAGCTCTCCTTTGGCGATTGAGTAGATTACGACCTGAGGGAGTACCTGTTAGTCATAAATTTCCTGTTTCCTTTCTTGGTCATCGTTTGGTAGAAGGGTTCGACGAACTGTCTTCATAAGGGCAGCAACAATCTTATCCTGCATCACAGCCAGGGCCCTACATGCCCCTTTAACAGGGAGTTCCGCCACCTTTGCCAACTGCCTAGATCCCGTCACTTCAAACGCCAATATCCGTCCCCGTATGGACCCCTCACCGACGTCATCCAGATACGACGTGCCAACAACAAACATGTCTTTGAAGGACTCATTCCCATCACTGTCTTTTCCTTCCGGGAACTGCGCCTGAATGACACTCTCCACAAGTTCATCCGGACGCAGACTATAATCATCCAACTCCCTAAACATAATTTCATCAGCTAACATGAAGCGACTCGTAATAACCTCGGCCCCGTTCTCCAGCGTGCGCTTAATAGTACCAATCCCAAATGCCTTCTCAGCCGCAGAATACGCAACCCGCCGGACCGTTTCGCCGATCTCGAGCGTGTGAATCTGCGTCGTCCGCTCCGAGTCCACATGGGCTATTTTCAATTCTGTTGGGGTGGCCAAAGCGATGGAGCCCGGGTACGCTTCGGAGTTAAAGTGGCAGATGCGCGAGGCCTGATCAGAGTGGACTGCGGAGTATATGATGCGGCCCTCTGTCGCGTAGATCAAGCTAGGCTGTTCACAGGTTGCAAAGATATTATACAAACCGTCTCCCCGTGGAAGCTTCTTGAACGACGGTTGCTCGGAGCCCAGAACCAGTTTGCTCATTTTTGTTAACGTGAATTCGTCCGCATTGAATGAGAAGGAGAATACTCCCCCGTCGGCCATGGAGACAAAAAGGGTTGCGGGTTGATTAGGGAGGACTTCTGCGACAAGCACTGAGCGTGGAAAAGCTTCACCCGGCTCGCCCACCGACGTGCTGTGGCGGATGGTCATGTCTGCCAGGCTCATTACAGCAACTTCAGCCGTTTGTGGCAGGCAGAGGATACAGTAGGTGGCCGGGGAGGAGGCAACTGTGACACCAGATACCTGTGTATCGTCGCCGAAATCCTTCTTCCCAGCAAGCTTAATTTCCCCTTGAATATCAAAACACATGAGCACCTGACCCCCAACCACTAAAACAAGGTGATCATCATTTGACGAAGCCGCCGTGATCGCCTTCTGAGAGGGAGGAGACCAGTTCCACAGCAGCATCCCGTCATCCAGATCCGCCACGCGAACATTGCGTTCCGTAACCTGCAAAATACGACCATTAGGCAAATTCGCTGCAAGTAACGTACTCTCGGCAAGTCCCAGGCCCATAAATTCGTCCTTTTCCTCCACCTCTCCATCCTGCGTGAAATGAAAGACCCTAGACTCATCCACAAATGAAACCAACAAGGTATCTGAAAATCCCTCCTGACACGCCACCCGCAGTGCCCAGAGGTCCGTTATGTGCTCCATAGCCCCTAATACACCCACCTCCTCCATGCCAACCCCACTCCTAACACTTCGCAAACTACCATCATCAAACGCTCCTGAGCCCGTAACAATCCGCGCCTGACCAGACGAAAAATCGTGCGTCTGATTCTCCCCAGCCCGCCCACCTAGATCCATAATTGTAAAATCCAGAATTGGCGCAATATTCGAAAATGTCTGTATGACTTCAAATGAACCCTCAGTTATACGGATGAGCTGCGAGTCGCCTTGATGAGAACCGATAAATGTCACTCCGCCGCCAAGATATACAAGGACCGAGGCCCTGGGTATGTTGCCTAGCAGGTCGAGTTTCCAGCTCTGCACAGCGTTGTCCTCGTCAAGGATGAGCATAAGAAAGAACAGCCGGCCGTAGTCATCCGCCAACAGCCATCGCTGGCCATCGACCTGTTCCCAAGCGACGAAAATGGTGGCTTCATCGAGGGGTAAGGAGATGCATTCATTTGTTGCGTCGTCGAGGTATCGGATCGAGGTTTCGCCTAGGACTAGGAGACCGCCTGTATAAATCATCAGTCAACGTAGGATGCACCTAGCGCCAACAATCCTATCAAAGGAGCAGCAAAAATAACCATACCCAACGGAGCCGGCACGGGTATCAAAAAGCTCGCTCCCATCTCCAACTCCTCCTTCAGCAAATCCAGCGCTTTCAATACTGCAATGCATCCAGTATCTTGCCCAGCCCCGCCACCAGTCCCAATCCCCATGCCACCATACGTAAATTCCAACTCCCTTACCTTCAATCTGACCTGCCCCATCGTATCCTCGTACAAAAACGCCATCCTTGGTAACATGTCTGCCTGAGTATGCAAAAACGCAGATGACCGCACCAACAACTCATCCACCCGCGCCTGGCAGGGTTCCCCCAGCTCCACCTCACCAGCAGCATTAGTATTACCAATATGACTACTATCATGTTGATTCTGTGCTGTCACAGCTCTCTTGCCATACTTCCGCCCGCCCTGCCTCGCCGTCCGCTGCGGCTGGCCAATGGGGATAACTGTAATGATTCCTTCATATAGCTCGAGGGTAATAAATTTGCCTGAAGGGTCGATGAGGCAGCGGTCTCCGAGCTGGGACTCCCGGGAGGAAGGGTCGGCAAGGTCGACGTATTTGCGCTCGGTGCGGAGCTGGGAGGTGACCGGGTTCCAGGAGACGGTGAAATAGGTGGCACGGTCTGTGCCGATGAAGAGGACGTCTGTTTGGGGGAGGAAGAGGGGTTGTTGGATTTGTGGAGGTGATAGTGTTTGTGGTTGCTGTTGTTGTATTGGGGGTCTGGAGAGCTTTGCTAGCGTGGTAACTTTTCCATAGATAGCTTTTGAATATTGGAGGGAGAGGCCTTCAGGGGTTTGGGAGTAGAATTCGAGGCGATTGGATTTGCTGGGGGTTAAGTGGAATAGTGTATGTAATGCTTAGTTACATGAAACTGTATATGGAGTATTTTACGCAGAGGGAGGGAGGGAGGGAGGGAGGGAGGGGGAGAGGAATAGCGCGGGACTCACGCAACAACCAGGCAGTCCTCCCCTGGGTTCAAGAACTGGAGCTTCAGGGCATGACGGATGCTGCTGGCGTGGTGGATGGGAACCACATATGCCATCTTGAGGACCTGAACTCTACGGTTGCGCTGTCAATGAGACGTGTCTGTGGGGAAGGGAGTGATAAGGGTGCGCGGAAGTGGTTGTAGCCTGTAGTGTTAGAAACAAAAATAGAAAACGGGTTATTATACCTTCGCAGCCACCCCAGTCACAGATGCTCCATGCATTCAATATCCTAAAGACCCGGAAAATGGTCGTGCAGCACCAATAAACCGCTGGGTGCTTTGGGGTTTGGTGAGTTGAAGATGGTTTGAAGTGAAGCAGGGGCAGTTTGATGTTGTCAGTTATGTCATGATGCAAACTGCGGAGAACTGGCTTGGCTCATTCTAGCTGGACAGATTGGAGACAAAATATCCGCGGAGCTAACCATCCCACGTAAATACGATGGATACAATAAAAATGAGAGATAATCGAGTAACTTAATATGGATATCGGAAATATCATACATCTATTTTACATATTCCATGTGCACTTGGATCATCTCATTTGGTATCTCATTCCAGCAAAGAAGAAATCCCATGAACAAACAGCAAGCGAACATATCAACAAGAAATACAAAGTAAACCAACCCCTTACTATCTAGACTTCTCCTGAAGATACTTATACACAACTGAGAAGTCTTTCCCCGCATGCGCTCCATCTGTCTCCTCATAAACCTCCTGTGCCTTCTCAGCAAGCATCAACGGCGTCCCGGCCTCCCGCGCCGCCTCAACAGCCAACCGTAAATCCTTCTTCATCAACCCAATCCCAAAGCCACCTTTGTATTCCCTTGACGCTGGAGCCGTCTCCACAACCCCAGGGACAGGATTGTTCACCTCACTCGACCACGATCGACCGGTCGAGGAATTAATCATCTGCCCCAGCGTCTTCGCATCTAGTCCCCAGCGAATTCCCAAATTCATCGCCTCAGCCGTCGCAATGTTTTGAATGGCTAGCAGGTAATTGTTGGCTAGTTTCCCCGAGAGGCCCGCGCCCTGTTCGCCCAGGTGCCACACCTTCTTGCCCATGAAAAGTAAGGTGTTTTCGGCGCGCTGGGCGAGGCCGGGAACCTTAGAGGAAGCTCCTAGCATGAAGGTGAGGGTGCCGGCAGAAGCACCGACGACGCCTCCGGACATGGGCGCGTCGACAAACTTGCCGGCGCCCGTGCTGTGGACTGCATTTGCAACTTCGCGGGATGAGGCTGGGTCGATGGTTGAGCAGTCTACGAAAAGCCGTTCTTTGTCCTGGGGAAGTTTGGGTAGGCCGCATTTTAGGATGTGGTGGAAGACGTCTTTGACGTGGCGGGGTTCGGGTAGGCTGGTTATGATTGTTTCCTGGGGTGTATGTTAGACTTTTCCTAAAATGATGCGTGGAGGTCTAAATAAGAGCAATAGAGAAGTGATTCTCGATGCGTGGCATTTAAGGGAGGATGGTCCAAAAGAGTAGAATGTATCAATGTGTTTGAATCAACAACGCTCCGTGTACGAATATGAATGCAAATGTTGAAATGATATATGAACTCATATATATCATCATATCGTATATGCACATCATTCCTTACCGATTCCCTTGCCAGCTGCTGAGGGCTAGCCGCAACCTCAACCTTCAGACCACTGGCTACTTCTTGGACGAATTGCTGGGTGACTTTGGGATTGGAGTCGCATATGATGAGAGTGTCGGACTCGGGAATTTTAGAGCGCAGATTTCTAGCCATTGGGAATCCTAGAGGGAAGATAATAATAACACATAGGTTTGTTAGTTAGCTGGTAAATTTTGAGGCATCTGAATTGGCGGGAATGCGGAGCTGGCAGAAGTCACCGGGGAACGACAAAAAGCACCAGAAACGGCACTATACAAACGAGACTGTAGAGACATATACAATTACGTCTCGTGTAGGAATAGGAATAATTGAAAAGGAATCCAAGCTTACCCATCTGTCCCAGCCCGATAAAACCCCAAGTCGCATTCCGGGGTCGACTTGTGGAGAAAGCTCTCTGTGCGGCGTGAAGAGTACGAGCAGATGCAAGCACCCTTCTCAGAGGGGTCTTCAACACGGAGGTGCTCATATTGAGAATTGTAATAGCTGATGGAGCTGGTGAGAGCAGCGAGTGGAATGCAAGAGGGGAAGCAGAAGAGAGAAGAAAATGAAGGGCTGCGGAGGAACGGGAGAGGATAACCGTCAAAGATAGCTAGCTATTAACTCTGAGCTCGTTAAACCAAGAACAGATCAATTATTTACCCCAACTCAACAGTTGTAATTAAACAATGGCCGCGCCTACAATAATAGATAGTTGGCTTTCCATATTATCCGTATCAAGATGTGGCTGGCCCCTTCAGCACCCCGCACCACTGCTTATTATTTAACCAACGATAACTGCAATATTATTCAATCCCCGGCTTAAACCGAAAAGTGGGGCTTGGTGATTGGATAGTGCATTCGTGGCGCTGAGGATTGGATGGGAGAGCATGAAGGCGAAAGGGATAACCAGAGACGGGAGATCAAAATGATGGTTACAGATGAGATAGTTATACAGAGTTGGTAATCTAGATATCGAGAGGTCCATCTCAACTTATTTTCCCAATGAATATCTCTAATAACTTAATTCGACTCCGCCAAAACCAATGACTGGATGTTGTTGTTTCTGGAGTGCGTGCCGATGCAGTTTGTTTATACATAGAATTAGTTATCCCCGCAACCACAGAAATGCGCTTTATCCTAACCCAGAAACCAGATGGAGAAACTGAGGTTGATTTTCATGATGTATCTTCATCAGTTAAACAATAACCGGACTTCAACAACGAATGGCTACATTCTCCAGTTATCATCCGCTTCAGCCTCACCATCTTTGTGGCCCGCTATATTACGGGTCATCCGCCATTATGCCCCTCACTAATACTTAGTTAAAGCCTTAATATGCCACAGAGTTCCGGAGTAGGTACGTGTAAATCAAACACTAAAGCTTTCCAACATGGTGCTTCATTAGTTACCATGAAAATTGTGAGCCTGTCGTATAACAACCTGGCATGCCGTAAAGATTTCGGCTCCAGAAGGCAATTAAGCAGCAGTCAGAAAACTGCTCATTCACAATCTATCTAGCTATCTCCGTTTATCACGTTAAAAGAGACTTCGTATTCTCTTCTTGACTTTATTCTGTTCTAAGTCTAGACACTATGGTCATGTCAATCATCCGGACTCGAAAGAGCGCCCCCGCAAAGATGACATGTGCCCTCTGCAACGGGTTCCAGGGGAGATGGAGCATTGCGAGCATGTTGGCAGACCCCAGCCCGCGGCATATGAACAGACACCATATCGTTCCCAGCTTCACCTGGAACGAATTGGAAGTGTTCGCCAGCTCGTGCTACTGCTGCCAAGTTCTCGTATCGGGATGTCTTGGGTGTTTCCAGCAGCACGGCATCCAGGTCTCAGATATCCTCCGGGGCATCTTAAGTTTCTACTATCCGAGCACCAATTATGATACAGAGAAACAGGACGCGAGCAAGAACTTGATATTTCTCCTGAACAACGGCCGCCGTTTTGAAATCCAATTCTTTTGCACAGATGACGATGATTGTCCCATCCCAGATTCTTGGGATTACATCCCTGTCTCGAAACGAACTTCCCCGAGGACAGATTCTGATCAAGCGATGGTTACCATCAAGAGCTGGATCTCTGCATGCATCGTCACTCACTTCACTCCTGAAAGCTTCTGCAACACACCAGATAACCCGCAATTGCCCACAAGGGTAGTTGACGTCGGCCTTGACGACGGGGTTGTGAAGCTTCTTGAACCAAAGGGCGCAAGGTCCAAGTACATCTGCCTCAGCCATTGCTGGGGGCTTGCCCAAATTATCACCACCACTAAATCAAATCTCGTCCAACACAAAAAGGCCATCCCCTGGAACCTACTCTCCAAAACCTTCCGCGACGCTATCTCCCTCACAAGAAGCCTAGGCTTTAAGTATATTTGGATAGACTCCCTCTGCATCATCCAAGATGACGCACGAGATTGGGACGTCGAGTCCGCCCAGATGGCCTCCATCTACACAAACGGCCACCTAACCATTGCTGCCACCAGATCTCCCAATGGTGCTGGTGGTCTCTATTGCCAAACGCCCGATTTTGAAGTCGCCGGCACCACACCAGACAAAAAAGCAGAGCCTTACCGTCTCTTCTTCCGTGAACGCATCGACCACCACATTGACATGGACGTCGTCATTCCGGACGCCGGTGACGCCGCCACGGGAAACCCAACAGCAATCCATTACCCCCTCCTGACACGCGCATGGGTCTACCAAGAACGAATGCTCTCCACACGCATTCTCCACTTTGGCAGATACGAGCTCTTCTTCGAGTGCCGCTCCGGTGTCCACTGCGAGTGTGACGGGATAGAATTCAACGGATCTTCTCCTGAAACGCCCATCCCTCTGTTTAAAATTGAGCACGCGGAGGCCCTACAGGATTACGTGAGTGACTGGGCGGAGCAGTTCAGTGACCAGGTCGTTTATCAGGGCGCTAGCCTGTGGCGAACCATGGTAAGCTGCTATACGGCGCTGCTACTGACCAAATCGAAAGATCGCCTGCCGGCCATCAGTGGTATTGCTAAGGATCTCGCGGCACGGCGTAAGTCAAGGTACCTGGCGGGCTTGTGGGAGGAGACGTTGAATGACGACCTGCTTTGGATTGTGCCGTCGCGATCGTGGTATAAAAAGGCTAGACCCCATCCGCGCAACGCACCGACATGGTCATGGGCGAGCGTCGAGACCTACATTCATTATTGGGATGGGGTGTTGTTTACCAGTCTTGAAGAGGAGAAGGGGGAGCTGAGGGAACGGTTGCCGTATACGCATTTCAGTACGATAAAGAAGTGCGAGATAACCTGGTCGGCTGTAGATGAGTTTGGGACTATTGCTGGTGGGTTTTTGACGATTTCAGGACTAGTGGTGGAGGGCGTGCTTGAACGGGAGGTCGAACTGTTGCAGGGAGAGGGGGAGAGTATTGTGCACTATGTATCTCTCCCAAGTCGCTACTTGCGGTTAGAGATGAAAGCGGATTATCTGCTTGATCTTGATGGGCCGGGTCAGACACGACCTGGGGCCAAGGTATTGTGTATGCGCATGAGTGCCATGCAGGAGGGATCGACAGATCATTTGATATCGCTCGTCTTAAAGGATTCGTCAGAGACTCGCGGTTGTTTTGAACGAATTGGAATTGTAGTTCTCGCAAAAAAGCCACCTCCTATAGATCCCTTTGGAGAATTGTTCCAGAAAGCTGGAGAACAGACTGTAACCATTGTTTAAAAAGGTTATTAGTATTTTAGTACACCGGCCAATGGCATCCAGAATAGCTAATAGAGGTATCATCATATATTAGAGTTAAATATGGAGTTTTTATCACAATGATTAGCCAAATCTATCAACAGCCATCAAAAACGACTCAACAACACAAAAACAGCGGAGGCCACCTAAAGGGGTCAGGTTTCGAACGAAACGAAGAGCGTAATGCAAACACAGAACACGCACAAGATGAAATGAAATAAACCCCAGAGGACAAAACACTTCAGTTTTGTTTCTTGCCCTGAAAGAGTTAAGAATTTGCCCAATTAAAGTATCCCATATGCTCCGAAAACTCCAAAGCCCAACACCAACACACACACACACACACACACACACACACACACACATGCCAATCATTACCAAACTGTGTGATAAAATGCATATGGAAATGGAAATTATGGGACACCAGTTAAAAACGCTTGTTAAGATGATGGATGGATAAGGCAGGATATAAAGTGATTGCATCACGGCACGAAGAGAAATAAAAAAGGAGAATAAATATATGTAAGCATAGAGGACTAAATGGGGAATGTGGTGGGGAGGAAAGAAAAATCTATCTAGAGACCAAGGGTATCTTAGAAACAAAGCAGGACGAGCAGAAGATGTAGTAAATGACGAGAGAAAGTTACTATGAGAGGGCGCGAGGGAACGGCTAGATTTCGGAATAATATGATTACTAGAGAATGTAAATTGTCCGGGAATTATGGACCTGGAGAAGCCGGCCCACTTGCAGCGCCGCTGTTGTTAGACACAGAAGAACCAGCCGCAGGGCTTGTAAGATACTCCGCCGGAACTCTCGGTACCCTCGGCGAGCTGGAGGTTTGGGCAAACGCGCGATGCTGAGCTCTGAACAGATCCCGATGGCGCTCCTTTTCTCTCGTGGAGGAAGTTCCACCGGTCAAGCGACGGACGCTGCTGCGGATAACGGACTCGAGCGAAAAGGGGCCCTCATTACCATGGCGCGGAGATGTGGTTGAGCCAGACGATGGTTGGTTGAGAATGAAACGCTCATCGGAGTCAGATAGCGCGTCCTCAAGCTCGTCATCGGATAGGAAAGGGAGCCCAGAATTTCCGAACGAAGGCATCGGTATTTGGTGGCTGGTGGGGTAGGTATTTGCGGGTGACGTGACGGATCGTGTGTGCATGGACATTCGAGAGTGTGGTAGGGCGGATGTTACGCTTAATGGTGAGGTATGTATCCCGCTAGGGTCAGTGCGTCCGGTGGTTGGTCGGGATTCAGCGAGGCCATTGTGAAATGAGGAGTATGAGGCGGTTCGAGCTAGAGACTTGCGTAGGAGAGGAGCTGTTTGTTGATCGTACAGATTCGCGCTGGCGTCGTGGAAGTCACTTATATAACTACGTAGTGTAATACCTGAAATCGAATTTGAAAGCGGCGGAGCCGCGTCGGATTCATCGAAGAAATCATCAAGGCTATCTAATTTCTGTAGGAGGTCACCCATGTTTCCGTCATGTTGTGTATCGATTGACTTCATCGTGTCAGCGCGCAGACCTGGGAAATACGGATCATTATATTCATCTGCGTGGAATTCCATCTCAGGGGATGTTGTGGTTTGCTCCGATCCATCAGCTTCTGCACAGGTGTAGAAAACAGCATGGACATTATTCCTCGTTAGGCTTGACTGTGCAGCAGGAACTGGGATAGACCATCCGGTCCGCTCAGGTATTCCGTACAAACTCTGAATACGCTCAAACTCCTTGCGTATCGCCCGAGACGAGGATGACGAAGCCATACTCATTCTTAGATGGTGACGCTCCATCGGGTTTCCAGAAACAGTCATGATATGGTCCATCACTTCGAGGGCTTGGGGACACAAGTCGGTGTGTAATAGCCGAAGTAGTGGAGATATGAGATCAGGCCCATAGCACGCTATTTCGGGTCGACGCATGTCCATTTCCGCAATTATTGCGCATAAAATTTTCATGATCTTAATACGGAACCAGGCAGTTGTATTTGTCAATAGCCCCATAAGGAAGACAAGGGTTTGTACATCATGTGCAGGGAAATAATATGATCGAATGGCTGCCACAGCGTCTACCAGAAGATCCTGACCTCGAGTATAATGGCCACTTGAGAATCCAAATAGGCAATCAGAAAGATGGGTATATCCATTGTTCTCAGAGCCTGAGGCAAGGAGCCTGGCCCGCTCCACGACTTCCTTAGACCTTTCAGACAGGTCGAACTGGTGGAGTAGCCCGGGAAGATTTGCCAGAATCGCAAAGAGCAATCGGGAACTATCACCTACCAGCTCATTATTGGGAAGGGCGGTAAGCCGATGCATGACGGTCAAAGTCCTATCCAGCAATTCGTCAGACTTAAGGCCCTTGTATATCAACACCTGGATGCCTTCAAAGTCACCTTCCCACTTTGGCGGTTTACTTTCTCTGAGTTTCGCCAACACAACCGGATCACGCATGTCCACCTTGTCCAGATACTTTTCTAACATGCCAACACTTTCCATAAACTCGCGTTCATGAATGGTGTTGAGACATGCACAAGTTGTCCAAAAGAGCTGCGGGTAGCGAAGCAAATCCTGCGGGGCAAGCGAACTGATGATGATCTTCAGGGTTGTCAGAATTTCCATCGAGAAAGTCTGATAATCGGTCTCCTCCTCTGCAATGGTATTGGACAGTCGTGCGAGCATATCCGCTAGCATTCTCGAGTCAAGTGAGGTAGAAATGCACCTAAAAACCTGGAATGACCGACAGGCAAGATGCCGAACTGGGCATGAAGTAGCCCAGTTCAATGCCTCTTTAGCCCACATATCATTCACCGATTCGTAAGCAGCAGAGAAGAAGTTGGCGACATCTTGCGTCACCCGATGCATGGACGCGGGCACTCGACTAGGGTCCTGGTCATCGTCATTGCCATTATTATCCTCATACTCCCAGACAACGGTGGCGTCACCTTGACGGATACATTCAACAAAATCTTCGATAGATTGCCTCATATCATCGGGGGAGTCACTAATTTTCGAAGCAACGAGCTCATGGATTAAATGGACAAGCATCTCACGGGCCTCCTCTTGCACCGTGAGCGTGTAATGATCCCAGAAAATAAGCGCAACATGGAGCAATTTCACCACGTCATCAAGCCCGAGGGTAACAGGAGATACCATCAGATCAACCAGGAAAATGAGAGAAACTTGGCCCAATGAATAGCCAGCCTGAGTAAAGTGTTAGACGTAAAATTTAAAGCAAACTGGAGGAGTTCATGGCCTACCTGCTTGTTGCCTACTGGCAAAACAGTCCCGAGATCAGCAACATATGGCAAGCCCTTCAAATCAGGAGGCGGTGGCATTGGTTCTCTTCTCTCCTGAACCATGTTTTTAGGCACGACTTGCATCAAGAAAAACTCAATGACTTTAGAACCTGCCAGGGTTGTAGACAAGAAAACAACAATCTGTTTGGCATAGTCCACGAAATTTTGTTCCTTACGTTCCAAACACAGGTTGATGATAAAATCCAGAACGAGTTGCACATTGCCCCCATGGGGTCCTGTTGCAAGAGCTTGCCAGAGAGCTTGGACTTCGTTGGGGAGAACGGTGCTTGAGCGAATCGTGATCTCGAAGAGATTTGCAAGGAGCATGTAAGACTTGGCTGTAGGCCCGCCGTTTGGATCCACTTGAAGTTCGATTGCCTGGATCCACGGAAGGATTGCGGCCACCATGTTACGTTGAGTGTCCGGCTGTATGTTCTTGAAATGCAGCGAAAATTCAGAAAATATCGTGAATGCGAGGTCAGTATGCTGTTGTGCTAGCCGTTTTGATGTCTCAAATTGAGCTAGCTTGTAAACAGCAGTTGTTTTATCGGATATACTGATGTCGAAGTCCTGGATCCTGGAGTTCTTCTGCTGGCGTTCTTCAAGAGTGCGTAAGAGGCGTGCAGACTTCATCCGTATTTCTCGCTTGGCGTTGCCTAGGGTGAAAAGAACAGCCCCGAGAATTCTCCAGAATGCCAACGGATAATCTGTATGCTCGATTAAAACCTGAGCAACAACCTCAAAATAACTTTCTAACGCCTTCGGACTTTCAGATAGATAGCACATTTCTATTGACTGCTCCAGAAGGTATGGAAACTCCTTATTGTGAATGATCAAATTTTTTAGAGCTCGTCGGGCGATGGCGTGTAGTTTGTCACTAACGGTGTTCAGAATAATATCAATCCAGGACAGCATACGTCGCACATCGAACTGGAGAGTGGCTTTGCTCTCTGTCATAATCTTGATAGGTCCACCACAAAGAGAGGCCATAGCACTTAAAGCAGCCGTTCTCAAATTCCTCTTCTCAATTTCCAACGCAGCGGTACTTCGAACCTCCCACGGTTCTCGTTGTCGAGCCAGCGCAAGCTTCCTCATATTTTCCTCTCGCACAGCGATCTGTGACTGGTTCGGTGAATAACCACACCAATCTTCCATGAGGGAAAATGCGGATTTCCTTGACTCGAATGACATCCAGCGGGAAGGGTCCTTGGATCTATTGATGCCTTCGAATAGTTCCTCCAGCAATCCACAATAATGGAACCTCAGCTTTTGAAACTCTAAGTCATTCTGCACCTCCACATCACTAAGAAAAATCCTCAGATCCTTCGTGTACGTAACGAGGTTATTGAGAATCCAGTCGTCGTTATACACCTCAGGCTCCTTCAGAAAGTGCGATGTCACCTTGTAAACATTGGTAACTTCAGTTCTCAGCCTATCTGTCTTTCTGTTTCGTCGCGGGCTACTTGGGGTGCGATTGTGAGATCCGATCCGTACCCGCGCCTCTTCATTGCATGTTGTAACTGCATACTGTAGAGACTCCAGCAATGTCCGATACAGGTGTTTATTGATTGAGCCAAGGGCGACGACGATGGCATTGCGAATGGAGTCAGGACCCGCTGACAGTAGGGGTATGACAGTAGCAAACAATGCTCGAGCTGAACCAATCTTATCCGGGGGATGTTGACTCGCCTTCGACATCTTCCGCGCATGCTGGGCATTGGCAAGTTGACTCTGAGACTGTGCCCCCGCAGTGTTGATAGTAGTGCAAGCCATAATAAGGTACAATTTCCACTGTTCAACCAATATGTCTGGCGAATTGCTGCTGCGGTGTCCCGGTCGACCGTGAGCCATATCAAGAGCTGCATACTGTCCCGGTTGAAAATGTTCAGCAAGAGCAGCAATGCTGTTGTGCATTTGAACTAGTCTAGCACAAACGATTTCGCGGCCCAGGGTCACGGCAAATGGGCAAGTGTCGAAACTGATACGGATGAGATTGGGAAACACTTTCGACCACAGAGTGGAGTCGTAGGAAACCTCGCTGCTGCAGATCTCAATGAGAGTATTTTGTGGCCCATTTTTCTGCTTTCCCTTTTGAAGTCGACTTCTTTCAGCAACAGTAAGCAGTTCATCCTTCAGATCTAGCACTTTATGCGACTCGCCTTCCAAAATATGAATTATCCGTGGGATGTCCTTGCCGGTCTTGCCCAGGGCACTGTCGAATTCGGTAATCAATCTCAGGACTGTGATTGCGAAAGCACGAACTCGTCTAGACTGTGAACAGAGGAAGAAAAGTCCGTGGGATTCGACCTCCTCCACATGAGCCATAACAGCCGACAAGTCTAGGTGCAATCCTCTGCTCCCCCCACCACCTTTTTCCGACGGCTCTGCACTTGCCTCTCTGCTCCGTTGCCTGATCTCTTCGATCCAGATCTGGATTAATTCGACGTACAGTTTCAAAGTCGATTCAATGTGGCCAGGGCCAAGCATTCCCTCATCCGACATAGTCGAGTACCTAGCATCAAAGTTGAAAATAAACCGGGCGAACCCAATGGCAACATGCTGCGCATGGGACTGACGAGCAATAGATTTGAGAGATTCAGCCGATGAGGTAGCGATATTGTACTGTACGTGTGCAGTCCCGGTGCACAGCAAATTAATCAAAGAGTTGAAGGGAATATGATCGGAAAGGCACCGAGGAAGAGCTTGGACAGCGACATGGAGCAAATCATAAAAGGCCTGCTTTTGGTCAACACCGTTTGAGTGGTCGTCTTTTCTTCCAAAGCTGAAAGCATCCGCGATTGGAGTTTTGGGTGTTACTCCGCCGAACTTTTCATCCAGAGCTGCCTGACCACCAAAAGTATTATCGCATAAAATCGTGATGTTGCCAAGTATTTCACAGAAGTGGTAGTAAAATTTACGGTAATTCTCGCTCAATTTAGCAGTGTTTACTGGTCGCGAAATATCTTCTTGTCGCTCATTTTTTTTGGTTGGATGTAAGTTGTCTGCTGTTCGCGGATCCGCGGAGGGAAATGAGGGAAATGAGGGAAATGGGCGGTCAGCAGCAGCGAAGTCTTGCGGAAATGGAGGCGGTTGGTGGCCACCGTTATCTAGGTCGGCCATTATTGCCAGAAAAGAACGAATTCCAATCACCGTTTTTTCGGGTTCCATATGCTCAATCTTCAACTCTTTGCCAGACATGATAAGTTCCGAATTAACGAGCGGAAATATTATGCCTCTGAAGCACATATCAGGATGCTTAAATCCAACCATCCGAATGAGCTCGGTCAGTGGTTCTGCCACCGCGGGCTCAGTGGTAAGATACGTCCTCCTACCACCTGGAAGTGCAATGCGAATGATTTCATCAATTTTTCTAAGGGGATTATTAAGGGAATCAGGGTAACGGAAAAGATAGGTCCAAAGCAATCTGCAGATCGCTTGGAGGGCTGTCCCTCTGGTAGGACGGTCCTTGAGTTTTGGCGGGAGGCTGGTAATCACAGACATCCACTGACTATTGAAAGTTTCTTTAGGCGAGGCGCAAAGAAGTAATGTATAAAGGGGAAAGGCACTGCTCCAGTGTCTAGGCTTCGTAATAATTTGAGATAACCGTGGAAAGAGGAGATCCAAAAAATCTTTCCACTTAGGTGATGTCAAGTCGCAGGAGACGTTGGCAGCGATAGGGAGGAGGAAAGCTTCAAGAATTTGGCAATATGCCTGTTTCAGATTCTGGCCGTGTGAACTCACGAATAATCTCGCCACAGCTTGTAGAAAATCACAGGACCTACTCCAAGCATCCTCGGGGAAGGTCCGTATCTTTAGATGCCTCATTCCAAATACAAGCAGCTCCGCTTTTGTCTCCAAGTCCCTTGCTGATGACAGTCGCGAGTCCTCCATTTGACATTGGCTCAGTTCCGCAAGAAATCTATTTGTAACGCTGGAAAAATTGGACTCGCTCATGATTCCCAAGAGTTGACCGTAAACACGCCAATTCGCCATTCGGAGGGGGGATGCTGCAATTTGGTCCGGATCAACTGTCTTCAATTGTCCGAAAACTATGTCTTCTAGTCGATCAGCCATTTCGGTCGTGATAGCTTGCAATGTACTCTGGTTGAAAATCTCGATCAGGACCCGACACACGAGGTAAACTGAAACTGTCGCACGACGTTCAGCCAGCAGAATATCTTCTTGACGTGATACGGATGAAATATGTGAATTGTTCGGTAGAGAGTTGGGATCTTGGGTTTCAGGCCCGGCCTGTGTAGGTTCTGTATTCCGGCGAGCAAGGCCAGGAACAGGAAGGGACAGTTGCTTTGTGTGGCTGGCAGGGTGTTTCGCTGCAGAGGCAGCCTCCCCTTTCGTCTTTCTCCATACCATGATAGTGTCGATTAATGGTTTTGGCTTCTGCTTTGCAATGTGGCCTAGAGCTGAAATGAGTTGATCAAAAGTTGGATCAGCACCTGGACCGCATACATGTTCCACTGGTGTATCGAAGTCACCGATGCTCATGATGCATCGGTTGATTTTTTCATCTGCCTGGCCGACAAAAGAATTGAATAAATGATGAAGAGCATATTCTCCAACAGTCTTTGCCTCCTGAGACTGTTTGGCAGAATGTGACGGATGATGAGAATGATCTCGCCTCGACTTCCCGCCTGAAGTTCCTTTCCGCTGTGTTGGGGTGTCACTAGACATTTCAGCAATGTGGCTATCCTGTATAGTTGCTAGAGACAATGACTGTATCTGGCAAGTTATAGGTGCGCCACTGCCCGCATATCCTGAAGAATATTCAACAAGGTCCCGCTTTCCGTTCAAAGTGGAGTCGTTGACGTGGCTTAGCCCAAATGCCATGGAGGCAATCTCTTCGGGGCTTAAAAGGCTGGCAATGGTGGAGGAAGTTCCAAAACTTGCATTCCTAGAATGTTGGATGTTTCCGTGGACAATGGAGGCCTGGCGATGGTGTCCGTAGGAGTTTGATGGTCGTCGCTCAAGCCCTTCACCTTCTAGACTCGCGGCTGATCGCGCACCAGCTGATTCGGGGCTATTTGAGTGCGACTGAGTCCGCAGCCGTGACTTAGGTTGTAGGGATTGAAGGGTAACGGGAGAGGTATCGGAAGGTCTCCCACGGGTAGAAGATGGGTCTCTGATATGGGATATCATATGGGGAGGGTTTCTCGACACCAGACGATCCGACGAGGAGGAATGAAGATTTGGTTGGGAGCTGGTCATCATGGGATCATTTAGTCTGTAGGGAAACGACTGACCGCCACCATTGGGTAGAACTAGGTGAGGACTAGCTGCAGAATAGTTAGAGATAGCGAAAATAAGCGTTTCACGATGAGGGAGAAGCTTGGGGAGGGCGCAGAAGAATCTTGGATCATCCTGATCATACAGCAATGATACAGGGAGAGGAGGCATAGATCAGAAAGCAGTTTAGAGCTATATCGCAAACTCCGAGGGTCAGAGTGCTTGGCAAGGACCTTCGAAACTTACAGGTGTGTTGCATTTTCAACAGCCTCCTCTTGGAACGAGGAGAGGAGAGAAGGACAGGGCGGTATCTCCTCGCATCGTCGATATGCAGGCCATTCCAAGAACGAGGGATTTGTGCAGCCAGTTGGGATGGCAGTCTTGCTGAGATTAGAGAGGAGGGTCGTAAATAAATAGAAGTTGTCTGAGGTCGTCCGAGGAGGTGGAGAAGGAGGTTTGGATATCGAAGCGCAGAACTCTTGGCTGCTGACTGACTAATAAGCAGTTAGTTAACTAACTTAACGTTAACTAACTAGTTAGTTAGTTAGTTAACTAAGTTAGCTGGTAACCAGGGACCAATAACTAGCGGGAGCCAGCCAACTGACAACCAACACCCCAAGGGAGTTAGACAACACAGCAACCATGGACCTGGCTGCGCTACTGCGAAAGTATCAATCATCTTTGACATTAAGACATTGTTCAGATACTGGCTATTACTACTTATAAGGGAATTCTCTGTCAAGGCTCATGCATGCTCTTGCCATTTAATATTATTCTTATTCTTCTTGCAACTATGAAAGAAGAAAATTTGCTGTTGCTGTTGTCCAACTTGAATGTCCCTACGTAACTTCACCACCACAACATTTCTCGAGATACGAAACAAAAACGACACCACCCCCAGCGATTGGTGAGCTTGCGAGCTTCTTAAAACTTCGCAAGAGTGATGGCTGTTTCTCTACCCGCCATCCCCCAAGTCCATCCCATACACTTTCACAATCACAGCTCCCGCATGTTCTTGGAGCTAAAACAGGTTAAGTTCTCTGATATTCAGCCCCTTCTGCACATAGCGAGAACCTCCTCGATCCAAGCGCTGGCATCTATGTGGCAAAATCCAATGCAGTTGATTTCTTGAAAAGCGCCCGGAAACAGCGAATGACCATCTCCGGCAACATCATCCGCTAACTGAGAATCACTACTGGACCACGCGCCTTCAGCCAGTCCACTGCTTTCTTCTCAACAAGAGACCATAACAGTGTTTGAAATTCCGCCGGAGACACGAGGGAAATGAACCGTTGAAACCCCTGGTCCCTTTTACATTCATTCAACGTGGGTTAATCCTCCGTATCACCATGAAGCAACAGCAAATCGCAAGGTCAAACAACTGTGTTTCTCCCAGACAGTCGTCATACATATTTATCATTGTTTGCTATTTCAAGGCACATGACTTGAAACTGCGGGGTCTGATAAACAAAACAAAAAAACGATATCTAAAGATATTAAACAAGAGATCTGTACTTTGTTTTCATACAGTTATGCACCAGGAAACTATTATTTATATACTTCCCTGCAATTTCTTTACGGTTAATAAGCCGCAAGAGCCATGCTCAGGCACGCAGTCTACAGTGCTCCATGATTAGCTAAAGATGGATCGACGGCGGGATATATGTATATGAAGTGGTGGCATATAATTAAAGACCCTGCCCGCGCCTTAAAATTTCACCTCTTTATGGGTGAAAGAACCATCAGCATATGGTGCTGATATACTGACACAATCCATCTCAAGAATTCGAAGAAAAAAATTAAAAATTAAAAATAAAAAAATAAATAATAAAAAAAGGATGATGATGATGATGATGCATTTCCTGACAGCCATGGTATTGGTTGCTCAATCTAGGCGACATAACATGTTTTAGATGCCCATCACTTAGAAAACGCTGGCATAGTTTGAAACAACACATGATGGAAATTTTTCTGGGATCCAGTCAGCAAGGGGGTTAGCTTTCTCAACCTCCACCATCATCTCCATAGAAAAATCCATGGTTCATAGAGCGCTCAAGCCCCTATGTCACGGTGTAGCTATTGGAGTTTGCCGCTTAGGCCGATCTTTCACCAATTCCATCTTCTCTTGCAGACTTTTGGTGTATTGAGGAGTCAATCATCCCCGTTGGAGGCCGGGTCTCAGGGAACAAAGCAAAAGCCTTTCGCCAATCCTCACTATCTCAAAGCTTTCAACATTGAGCTGGCAGGCTCCCTCACACCCCGCCTTCGACATGGGAAAATCAACGGATCGACGATCGGTAGATCCAGGTAACCACGGCACATTCATCATGGTTGATTTTCTAGCTCCCGCGGTGCTGTGGCTAAGAGCTCCCATGCATGTTGTAATACTGTAGCGGTGAGGGAACTGGCTTCATCATGGGCTTATTTGCGTCACAATCACATGTTTTGTATCTGATTCCGGCGCGATGACCTCCTCCTAGGTTTGTCCTTGGTCAAATTGTCATAGAGCGTAGGACGCATATCCGCGCTCACAACCACGATTCCATGCAGGAATATATATTTTGCCCACGGATGTTCCGCAGATTGGGACGAAACCGGCAAATTCCGCAAGAAAATACCCACTCCCGGATTGGATATGACTCAGAACGGCGCGGAGTAGACGACACAATGGATCGCCGTCATGTCTATCATCGTCGCCTGCATACCTAGTTACCCAGCTTATCTTGACAGATCCTATTTAAAACAGCTGCCCCTGTTGTCGAATGCAGGAACTGCAATTTCGGATAGATCGATCTCTATTCTTCCTGTTTTCCCGCGAACAGAAATGGTGCATCAATCGGGAATTTCTGTTCTTCCTGCGGAAGGATAGATGCCCTGCCAGCTGTAGATCGTGGATTGAAGTGCCATGGGTTAAGCTGCTGTGAATGTTCAGGTTCTGCCGGTTATATCCCAGGCCATGACCTGGGGGTTTCGAGGATTAAGAGCAGGTAACCAACTAGTTATATCTTATCAATCAAAATCCCTATTTTTTTTCCCCCTCAGTTAGAGAGTTGTGTGGTGGATTAAATATACGTATCTCTTTGGGATGTCTTTTTCCTTTTCTTTTCCTCATTTTAGAGGATGCGGGATAAAAAGTATTTTCTAACGACCGTTAGCGTTTCATGAGGATGACCCTAATAATATCTTCGATTTCTAAATCACCAGTGAAGGCCTTCCAGCTAAATACAGCAAATCTCTGCGGGAGGTGAGATGATGTGCACACCTGTACAGAGAAGTTTACAATAATAGATATACATAGAGAGTGGATACTCAAAAATGAAATTATTGCACATGTCCAGTGTAGATGTTTAGGTGCGCATGGTTCTGCAAGGCCTATCTGGGTTTGGTTGCATTGATGCAAAAATAGATTATTCTGAGAATAATGAAGAATAGAAAGGAAGAATAATAGTTATTAACTAGTTAACTAACTAGGGAGGCCTAAGATCTTAATAAGCTTAACTTTTGTGGGCTACCAGGACTGCTGAATGGATGGGTAGTGGTCAAATATCAGTCTGCCTAAGTTCATCCCTGTCGGATATATGCCCTTTGGGAACTTGACACATATATCCAAGGGATGATTAGCTCTTGATGAAAGATTTCAGTCCGAGTACTCCGTCCTCCGTGATGATGGGTAACTATGATTGAAGAGTGCAGAAGAGAAGAGGCAAACTGCGGAACTTAACCAGCTGCAAACAGCAGCATTGAAAGGGGTATTCCCGTACACACATAAACTTTCCCCCAGAAATAAGTCAATAAGAATAAGAATAAGAATAAGATTGTATACTCTGTAGAGCTCTCTTACATGGGCTTGTCAGTTGGAACAGGCCACTTTTTTACCGTCGCCGTCAGCCAAATCCGAGCCAAGCAGCTCCCGGGTTGAATCAACTCTCGCCTCTCACAACCACTCTCATCATCCACACACATTCTCTCTCTCTGCCCTTCACTTTGTCCTCTTTTCCCTCTTTCCCTCACCAAGATTCAAGATACCGTGTCCATTTGGCCAAATATACCCCCCATTTGCTTACAGCCACCCCACTCACGTAGTTAAGTGGTGTCGCCAATATTCCCGCCGATTCCCGTTTCTCCCCCATAGGATTCCCTCACGGCACAAAACAAGCCAGCTAGGAATATTGGCTGCCTCCTTGCTTATTGTCCTTCTTGTTTCCTTTCTGTTTTACCGGTACGTTGTTCATTTTATGGTTTTATACTCTTTGCTGTAATCCTTCTCTTTCAAATTTTCTTGGTTTGGTGTTCGGCTGATACTTCTCGTTGCTCAGGAACTCAACTCAAATCCGCGTGGTCTCTATTCGGACTTCCAACCTTCCCACCCGCGCCGCACCTGTATTCGCTCCCCAACGGCTAATCGTCCACACTCTTTGCCATGACCCAGGTCGACACATTGGACCTGGTGGTCCTGGTCGTAATTCTTGTGGGTAGCGTCGCCTATTTTACTAAGGGCTCTTTATGGGGTGTTGTTAAGGACCCCTATGCGACAGCTTATTCGAACGCAAATGGCGCAAAGGCCGGGGCATCAAGAGACATCATCGAGAAACTAGACGAGACTGGAAAAAATTGTGTGATCTTCTACGGTTCCCAGACCGGAACCGCGGAGGACTATGCCTCGCGGTTGGCCAAGGAGGGCTCCCAACGATTTGGCCTCAAAACCATGGTGGCCGATTTAGAAGATTATGATTACGAGAATCTCGACAAGTTCCCAGAGGATAAGGTCATGTTTTTTGTGCTCGCGACTTACGGTGAGGGTGAGCCTACGGATAACGCCGTGGATTTCTATCAGTTCATTACTTCAGACGACGTTTCGTTCGAAGGTGGTGGAACGTCTGATGATAAGCCTCTTTCCTCCATTAGGTATGTCGCCTTTGGCCTGGGAAACAACACCTATGAGCATTATAACTCGATGGTGAGAAATGTCGATGCTACGATGAAGAGGCTCGGCGCCAAACGAATTGGAGAGGCCGGTGAAGGTGATGATGGTGCAGGTACCATGGAAGAGGATTATCTGGCCTGGAAAGAGCCCATGTGGAAAGCTCTGGCAGAGGAAATGGGGCTGGAGGAACGGGAAGCTGTTTACGAACCCGTATTCTCAGTTATCGAGGAACCGGAAACCTCCCCTGAAGCCGACCATGTCTATCTGGGCGAACCAAACCAGAATCACCTCC